TCGAAATGCTTGAACAGGTCCATGCATTTTCTGTCTGTGACGACCCTGATTACTTCTATGACTTTGTTCAAGTCCTGCTTGATGGAATTAAAGCAGGTGTTCTCTCACGTGATATCGCTGACATTCACAATGTGAGTTTTTCATTACCCTTGGAGTCTTCCTTTGGACACCTACTATTGCACCCTATGGTCACAATTATAAAGACATGCATTGTCATAAGCAGATAATGGATGTTTGCAAAGTTTGATCTTTCTTGTTGCAATTTCTGCATGGCAATGGTACAAAAGATGCCTGTTCTGCAATTTTCTGAGGAATTTTATTCGGGTTGCATCCTCTTAAATAGACCTTGTTAAAATTCCTATTTGGTTGTTAAGCATGGTTTTCAGTAGGCACTGGAGACTTTTCACTCGTTCTTGTGCTATAAAATCTCCTCGTTAGATGCTTGGTGAAAATGTAAGAAAACACTAGCTTTTTCCATTAGAGATGTAGTCCACCAGAACTTTTGCACAGAGAATCCTGATATCTTCAGATATGTAGGTCCACTTGTTAATCGATTAAGGCACAAAAGTCAGTTTCTGATGATGAAACATGGATAATCTTTAAATTATTGTTTCTACGCAGGCCAAAGGTTTGGGGTATGCAATGAGTACTTCAGAGGAACTTAAGTTTGTTAAGGACGTTGCTACAGCCACTGGAGTTGTTCTAGACCCAGTTTACAGGTACACAAAATCACTGGCCCTTTGTTATTTTTTGTCACTCACTTTATCTTTGTAAGTTTGTGAGATGTGCGCATATACTTTCGCTTCTTCTTTTTTCTTGCTTTTTGATGTAAAGCATAACAGTTTCAACCAATTATGGTTTTTGACGTTGAAGTCTGTTAACATTCTTTCAATTCAGAGATGTCCACATATTTTCTAAGTGATGAAACTTCATTATGTCAATTTTATTTTATAAGAGATATGGTGCAGCTTAGGTTTATTGCCATGGTGAGTGTGAATTCTCATTGACCACTGACAAATAGATGTAAATTACTTGTTCATAAGGAATCAACTCAAACACACGGAAATATCCCCAAAAAAAAACTGTCGAGATATGAAGAAAATAGGAAGCCAGACATTTAGGAACAGTAATAGACACTTTGTATGAGTAATTTCAGATTATTTTAGCTACAGCCATAATACGTCATTGAGGATAATTGTCATCTTGATGGTACCTGAGCTAACTTGAATTAACTTCCGTTTTTTTCTGGTTGGTCGTTTGAGAGCTGAAGTAAGACAATAGGCGGCCATCACGAAAAAGTATAAGATAAAGTGTTCATGAATTTGATGTAGGTGTTAATGTTAGTCCTTGGTAGAAATATCTGTTGTCGGTCTCACTTGAAGAAAAGGAAGATTACCGGGACCTGACTAATCTTTGATCTGGTTGCTGATATAGCGGGAAAGCTGCTTATGGAATGATGAGAGACATGGCCGAGAACCCGGCAAAGTGGGAAGGAAGGAGAGTCCTCTTCGTGCATACAGGTGGACTCCTCGGGCTGTTTGATAAGGTTGATCAGATGGCTTCGACCATAAGCAATTGGCAGCGATTGGATGTTGATGAATCAGTTCCGCGGAAGGAGGGAACTGGAAAGATGTTCTAAAAGGAGTGGAATCAAATAAAGGAAGCTTCTGCAAATATATAGTGGTGATTGGTGGGTATTTGTTTGCTTTTTTCAAATGAGACTTCTGGTTGATATGTTACTCTCTGATGCTAAGGTTTAGATTCTTCTGCGCAAGTGGAATGACAACGAGAATATATTCTCCAACCTCGTCGTACATTGCAACTCTCATATAAGATGTCGCGAGACACAAAATAGCTTTCAATTTTCGAGTATTTTGTGTCGTGATTTTATGTGTTAAGGTTACGATGAAAACAAGTTTCGAATACGATGAGGTACGACCGTTGATTGTTCGTTTCGGACTCCGTACCGAGGTCTCGTGTGTTTGCCCGAGTGTTTTTTTTCAGTTTTTTTATCTAAAGGTATGCTACATGTGTTCTCTTTTGTGACATGATAGAATGTGGTTATCCATTCCCTAAAAAGTTTTGGTCAAATCAATGTTTTTCCCCCTTATCCAGCTCTGTAATAATTGAGATGAATCCGTGGCTAGCAAGTTTCTGTGGGATTTTACCTTTTACCAGCCGACATTCCAGTAGAGCTTGACATCACAAAAGGCAAAAAAGATGCTTCAGACAGACAAGCATCACTCGCACAAAAGGGCAATTATTATTTTCTTCTTTTTTGAGGAAATTTCATAAAATATCTTCACTTTTGGACACACATCAATCACCATCTCCAGCTTTGAAAACCTACAAAATTCCATGGTGCTGCCATTGAAAACTTACTAGAGGGTCCACTTTGTTCGTGGCAAATATTCTCAATCTACGATATTTGTTCATCTATGTAAATATACACCACGAATAACGGTGAGCGCCGACATTGAAACTTTTGAAAATACATGATCGCCGGTGTTGAATTCTAAAGGTCTTCTTATTTAATGGTTTGCAATGTTCCTACGGTGATTCTATGCCGTTTCTAAGTTTTTCTCGAACAACATTTGGACCCATGTTGTCATGTTAAATTCTTAATTATGAGATTCCACTTTTTTAGTGGCATAAGCGGGAGAATCTTAATTGGTAATTTTTTATCTGAAGATTTCACTTTTTTAGTGGCTTGAGTTTTTCTCAAATCGCTCGAACGATATTTGAACTCATGTTGGAGGCGTTGGTAGGAGGGTCGATGCAACCATTTGATGATGGGGTGGGAGTGGGGGTGGGGAGGGAGAATAGGTCGGTCATTCTATCATTCATATTTTATCTGAAGATAAAAATTGTAGATTTAAAAAAGTGAGTATGCTATTTGGAAATGATTTTGAAGTTTCCCCTATCTTAAATACTGACAACCTTTTATTTTAAGAGTCTCATTTAAAAAGTTCTCTTATTAGACCTTTTGCACAATGTATATGAAACTTTTCTATATATTCCTTTTGAGAGATTATTACTTGATCAGTCATGAACTACCGTATGGATGCCAATTCAGTTATAAACTTTTTTGATTTTGTTAATGTAGTTTTAAATCTTTGAGTGAAATTTCAATATATTCTTTTTAGTCATGTCATAAAGTCATCACCGGCCGTTCCACATATCACACCGACGTGAACAACTTGCGGATCACCACGTCAGCGATTTCCGGCAGCAATTAACCGGAAATGATTTATTGGAATTCCGTACAAATATTTAGGACTGCATTTCTAAAAATAAAAAATGTTATGACTGAATTAGTATCAATATAATAGATTTATGACGGAATTGATGATTTTCTCCGCCTTTTTTGTATGTTTAGACATGGATGTCGGCTCTATATACAACTTTCATTTTCATAAAAATGGTAATTGAAATGCGCGTAGCGTATCGACCCTGCCAATGAGCGAACCGATGGTGATTTGACACCACTTGTCCGATAAGGTACTTATTTCCGGACACGCGGCTCCGCACTGGTCCAATAGGATTAGCCACTCTTGGCTTGTTCGACACGTGCGGATAACTGCCAGTCAACTCCCAACTATAAGAAAGGGCAAGTGGGACTCTAATTTTTTTTTTTTTCATTTGTACGATTTTTCCAGCAGTAGTTTTTTTCTCCTAATATTGAACGCATAAAATCTCGAAAAGTATGCAAATATCTTAATTTTTGTAAAGAAAAAAATCACGAAAAACTCCTAACTAAACTTTAAATAAGCTGAGATCTTTGGGATGTCTTTTTTGTTCCGGCTAATGTTGTTCTTTTCTTTTAATTATGCTTTTTTGTCCATGCACGTTAATTAAATCTTAATATTTTTGATCTTTTAAATCAGGTCATTCTCTATATACAATATATTTAATCAAATTTCTCGAGCACAAAATCCGATTCGACTCAATTCAATCATCGCTCGAAGGATGTCGGAGTGCAATGCAGATTCAATGCTGCTTAGGTGGGCATCTATCATGGATGCCCAAGAAGTGAATGGATCAAATTTTTCCCGATTAACATTTTCTTATTTCTCCGCCCATGCACCATGCAAAGCGGGTGTTTTGTATATTCATTGGGTGTTTTTATTCATTGGACATTTTGTAAATATTAAATAATTCCATTAGAAAAATTGGAAATACGTTAAGTCAGACTGCGCGTCGAGAGAGAGGGACTAGGGGTGATCGGTTTCCGAGCGGTCCAATTCCTGCCCAGGAATCAGATCGATGCCCCCAGAACCGGACCACCCGGTTCGATTTTCAGGTGGGCCAATGGAATTGGTGGCATATTTCCTTTTTCTTTATTTGTCGTTACTGTTCACGATGGAATTGAAGATATCCTTGATAATCAAGGCATTTTTACAATCAGTAAGTTACGTGTGACATTGTATTTGTGACAAAATTTGGTTGGAACGAACAAAAGCCTTGAACGGCCTTTCTTTGTGAAATAGGAGATAAATTAGGGTTATTTTTACATATTTTTAAAAAAATTAAAAACTCGAAAAAAAAAAATCAATCCTGTCCGGATGGTCCGCACGAGTGGGTTCTATATCTAGTATTGGGAATCAGACCAGTGCCTTGTGAATCGGTCAGAACTGTTCCGTCCGATTTGATTCAAGCCGTTCTTGATCCGGGCGGTTCCTTTTACGGTGACAACGCTGAGTCCTATTGCAGGGGCAGTCGGCAACCACCAAGTATTTACTTGTCCGTTTCAAGCAACCCCTTCGCAACACGACTACGTGTCCTCGCCCTTCCACGCAACCCACTCGTGTGCACTCACTCCACTCCTCCCATCTTCATCTTCAATGCAAAGCAGAGCAAGTCACTCCAAGAATCCTTGTCTCCCCACCACAGCGACCCTTCTCCTTTTTTAAGCAATCACTAAAGCATCATCATCATCGTCAGTATTGGGTCCAAAGCAAAAGCAACCATTTCTTTGGACGCACAGGAGAGCAAACTCTCCATATATAAAAGCACTTCCCTTATCTCGTCCGCAGTGTGTCCGTCTCTCTCGTCCCCGTTTCTTGCTTTGCGTGTGAGAGAGGGGAGAGGAAAGAAAAGAGGAGGAAGAATGGTGGTCACGACGACGGTGTCGGACTCCGATGAGCATGTTCACTCCACTTTCGCCTCCAGATACGTCCGCGACCCTCTTCCCAAGTAGGCACTCTCTCTTGATTTCGTGCGTTGGGCCATTTTCTGATGCGGGGTCTTGTAGTTTTTCTTCCTGGCTGCTTTCGTTGGTCGACATGAAAACGTTCGAAGTTTTTTCCTTTTCTCGTTGATCGTTGCTTTGAATTGTTAGACAAGTGGGATTTCTGGACAAGTTTGAAGGCTTGCGTGCGAACCTCCACAGTGTGTGTTAAACATCTGTGCTATGAGGAAGGTGGTGGGGAAAAATATCGAGAGTTTTGTGCGATCGTTTCTCTCTCTTTTTTGACTGTCTGCGGAGAGCGGAGATGGGTTTTTCTTGTTTTTTCGTCGTAGATCGTTGATTAGTGTTAATGTGATTGCTGTCGATCGCGGGGTAGGTTCAAGATGCCGGAGCATTCGATACCGAAAGAAGCGGCTTACCAGATAATAAGCGATGAACTGATGTTGGATGGGAATCCGAGGCTGAACTTGGCTTCTTTCGTGACTACGTGGATGGAGCCGGAGTGTGATAAGCTGATGATGGCTGCAATCAACAAGAATTATGTCGATATGGATGAATACCCTGTCACCACAGAGCTCCAGGTTCTGTCCCCTCTTTCCCATTTTCTATTAGCTTCAAGTGTTTGTGTTGAATTTTAATGCAACACTCGCGTTTACATTTGTCTAAATGTATCTGCGTGTGGGTTACTTCTTAATTAGGGGTTTGTAGTATGATAACAACAAAGAAAGGAGACGGGATTACTTGAAAACAGGAAGTTGATTTGTCAGAAGCTGGATTGAAGATATTGGGGTGCCGGATAGTTCTTTGTTATACTTTTCTTTTGGCATACTTTGGAATTCAGAGTCTTCTACAATTTTGCATCCTTTGGAATTCGGAGTCTTAGCCTGATTAACTCTTTACGCCTCTGATGAAACTACATAATTTGTTAGTCAGTATTTTATCGATCTTGGTCTTTTATTATTCGGGCAAAGATTGAGTTGTGTTGGACTGATTTTGCAGAACCGGTGCGTTAACATGATAGCCCACCTGTTCAATGCTCCCATGGGAGATGATGAGACCGCAATCGGTGTCGGGACAGTGGGGTCGTCAGAGGCTATAATGTTGGCAGGGTTGGCAATGAAGAGGAAGTGGCAGAAAAAGAGACAGTCCGAAGGAAAACCTTTTGATAAGCCAAATATAGTTACTGGAGCCAATGTGCAGGTATGCCTCACATTCTCCCGGTAAAAATTGCTTTTCACGTACGTTTGAGGCAGACTTGTTCTTAAAATTGATTATTATTTAGTCCACACATTGTCTTGTAAGAACTGAGTTCGTATGTTTTAAGCATTTGATTTGGTGACGCAGTTCATTCAATTTGCAGTCTGATCTAAGTCGTTTGATATCAGGCACCATTTTCACCAAAAAGGTGAAGGTCTTTTTAATCTTGTAGACATCGCAAGTATACTCGAAATCGATATTAACATGGTCTAGCGACGGATTACGTTATTCCATCATGTACTGTTAGACCAACATTCTACTGACTATACCAATCTAAGGTCCACTGCACTTTAGGTACTTGTATGTTGTTTGCGGGATGCTTAAGCTATTTCTTTTGTATTTCATAAATTTCGGTCTGTTGGTTCAAACCAGGTTTGCTGGGAGAAGTTCGCTAGGTACTTTGAGGTTGAGCTGAAGGAAGTGAAACTGAAGGAGGATTATTATGTGATGGACCCAGCGAAAGCTGTCGAGATGGTGGACGAGAATACGATATGTGTTGCAGCGATACTTGGTTCAACCTTAACTGGAGAGTTCGAGGATGTGAAACTCCTTAATGATCTCCTTACTAAGAAGAACAAGGAAACCGGATGGGACACTCCCATTCATGTTGATGCTGCAAGTGGAGGGTTCATAGCCCCATTTCTGTACCCGAATCTCAAATGGGATTTCCGTTTACCACTAGTTAAGAGCATTAACGTGAGCGGTCACAAGTATGGCCTTGTTTATGCCGGTGTTGGATGGGTTGTTTGGAGGAGCAAAGAAGAGTTGCCCGAGGAACTCATCTTTCACATTAATTACCTCGGGTCTGATCAACCCACTTTCACGCTCAACTTTTCTAAAGGTAATGCCAAGAACTTAAAGTGTAATATTACTTGTCTAACTGCAAATTTTGCTCTTTCCTGGTTGCGATGCTGTCAATACTGTATGAGGACTTGATACCTTCAGTGAAGCTTTAGAGGAGTGATCTTTAATAATGGAAGATGTCCTTTTTCCAAATGTCTATATGTATATATATGCAATCTTGAGGAGTGATCTTTAAGTGACTTTGCTGTCCCGTACTAATTTGTGTGGCTCGTGATCTTTCTACTTGGTTATTCTGGCAGGTTCGAGTCAAATTATAGCTCAATATTATCAGTTAATAAGGCTGGGGTTCGAGGTGAGTTTGCATGTTCTTTTTATTTGATGCTCCAAGTGTAAACTTTAAAACGGAAATGTCGCTCTGAGAATTTTAATCGTAAAACCAGCATGAAGCATTGAAATGCAATCACCATCGAAACCGGTATGAACCATTGACAGGGAGCGGAGGGACAAATTGATTAGTTCTTGGTTAAATGACATCAACTGAAATTACTCCACACATGTTTCGGACTTGCTAGTTGAGTTATACGCGATTGTCTCATCATGCGCATCCGTACACCATTGGCAAAAAACTAGAAGTATGATGGTCGTTAACCGATGATTCCTACCATCGACCTTGGATCTATATTGGACACTGGCAGAGTTATTGAGCATTGACGTCAGTCGTAGGATCAGTTGGCTGTTTTAAAAACTATGGAGTTCTAGTTGGCTACTTTAACAATGTTATAGAATCTTTTTCTGTCTGTTTGACTTTGAATTTTGAAATGTCTCGACTCTGCATCTGCAAGGGATACAAAAACATCATGCAGAACTGCATGGCCAACGCTGGCGCACTGCGAGAGGAGATCAAAAAAATGGGCCGGTTCAACATACTGTCGAAGGAAGATGGCGTGCCGCTCGTCGCCTTTTCCCTTAAGGACAGCAGCCGGTTCACGGTATTCGACATAGCCGAGGACCTGAGGAGGTTCGGATGGATCGTGCCGGCGTACACGATGCCGCCCGACGCGGAGCACGTGGCCGTCCTCCGCGTCGTGGTCCGGGAGGACTTCAGCAGGGGCCTCGCGGAGAGGCTCGCGCATGACATCGAGAAGGTCGTGAAGGAGCTGGACGGGAAGCCGAGCCGCGGCACCATCAAGGCCGCCCACGTGACGGCCGCTGCTGCCGAGGGGTCGGGCAGTGACAAGCGTGTGAAGAAGAGCGTGGAGGAGACTCAGAGGGAGATCACAAGCTATTGGAAGGGGCTGGTGGATGGCAGGAGAACTGGGGCTTGCTAGGACTATGTCATTTCATGTGCTGGGTTGCAACGTTTGTTTGTGCTTGACTGCTTGTTTATCTTACAAGAAGCATTAAGGGTAATATTTCACCGGTATTGAGAATGTGAAGCTACTATGTTGGTGGGTCCGTCTTTACTCTTAAGCATTGTTATTGAAAATTGTCTTATTAATATGTAAATATTATCTTTATTTTTTTTAAACGCTTCAGGCTTCCTTTTTTATTTTCTTATTTTCCAGTATTGAGGATATATATGGACACGGCATGTTGTATTCAAAACGGAAGATAACTAGTGTAAACTGTAAACAATCGTGACCTAACTGCAAATAATTACTAGTGTAATAACTATATTCTGATGAACAATATCATATAATTGTGATAAAAAAGAAACCGGGTCTTAAGGTAAAATGAAAAAATCGAATGGTCCATTAAACTATGTTAGAGTTTTTATTTTTGTTTCGACGGTCTTTTTAGATAAAGGAAAAATTGATTCATACCCTTTTTCTTAAGAGAGGTTGGATCCTTATATCATTTTTTCTTTGGATTAAAAACGACACGGGACATATCCATTAAAATAATCACGCGACATTCATTTTGTATCGTACGCCAATTCGTGCATGGGTTCTCGGTAAATACATAGTATTATATTCTGTTATACGGACAGGAAGCAACTAAAAAAGTCTCACATAATACGGTATCGACATTTCTCGCAATCCTAAACTAATCTCCATCCCATCGATTCGATCCGATCCACCCACGGAATGGAAATTTTCCGCGGGAAAGCGAGTAAATCGCACTTTATGATAAAGATAACTATTTCCTTTATTAATTTAATTGTTATCTTGACAGGAGAAACGGGGGTCGAGCTTCGACGTCAATGCGCCGTCGTTTCGGTTTCAAAACGCGACCATTGCAGTGGGCCGCGTGGGCCCCTAAACTAAAGTTCCCGCCATCTCCACCGCGCAGGGAGGCGGGTTTTCCCGCCAAAATGGCGGGAGAGCCTTTTTGTTGAATTGGGGAGAACGGTGGTCGGCTCCTCCAGCGCATTCCCGTTCGTCGTCGCGAGAGAGAGAGAGAGAGAGAGAGAGAGAGGGGGCGAGAGAGAGATGAGCAGCGGCGCGGCGGCGATGAAGAAGGTGGTGCAGAGGAAGTTCAAGATGAGGGGCTACACCCTCCGGGTGGACGCCCTCGACGCCGTCATCTCCTTCGCCTCCCGCTTCTCCGGCGCCGAGGACGACGCCCTCGACCTCCTCCTCGATCAGCTCGACCACGAATCCCGTAAATCTCTTTGCAAGAAGAAAAAAGTTTGCTAGATCGATCTATTGAGGTGCTTCGATTGCTGTTTTGTTTAATCGAATCGATGTGGTGCGCGTGTTGTGGTGCTGCTGTTGGCAGTGACGTCTTCGATCATCGACAGAGATCCGGTGAATCGGGTGGTGAGCCTCTTGCTGGAAGCGGAAGCCGCGGCGGAGGAAAGCCCTAACGCGGCGGCTTGCGAGGGTGGTCGGGGATCCGCGCTCCGCGTGATCGACGCCTTCTTGGTCCCCAAGTTTCATTACGATCCGGTCAAGAAGATCTTTTACGAGTACTCCTCCTTCGCTTTCATCTCTTCATGTCCTCTATTTCGGCTCCCTCATATGATGTGGCTTCGGCATTTTTACAAAATTGGAGGCGCTTCGAGTAGATTATAGCTCTCTGGAGGGGTTGGAGATATCTTCCGAACTAGGGTGCTTTGAGTCGATTTCAGAGCATTTGAAATATCTTCTTTTGCTGTTGGAGTCACTAAAGGACTCTGGATTTGATTCTTGATGCAAAGTATGATTTTTGAATCCCTTTTCGAGATAATCGGTTCCCTTTCGCACATTTTGCGCGGGGAAGACAATTCTGAATCGGAAATTTAGTTCGTTGGATTTAGGAACAGGGGCTCCTTGTAGAAGCTATAAGTGTCTTTCGGCCGGATGAGGGCATTTGAAAATGCGGTGCTTATATGGAGTTTTTTTTGGCTGGTGTAGGCACACTGGAAGCCTGCCCATTCATGGTGAGGCCTCTGCAAAAGCGAAGCTTTATAAGGATAGGTTTCTGCTGCTGTATCAGAGACTCTCTCGTGATCAGCATTTCGCGAAGCCTGCATTCGAAACTGAAACGACCGAGTTTGGAAGTTGCGAGGTAAGTCGACGGTCGTCCCAACCATACTTAATGCTGTCAGTGTACTGTTAGTCTTTAGTAACCCCAGCACCTGCCGAATGTGGGTATACCGACTGGCTTTAAGAAATGAGCAGTGAACCTTTCATCATTGGAACTGACTCCAGTTCTGTCACACCCGTAAATAATTTTGACAGATATCTCCAATCCAATCTCTTGTCGGGCAAACTGGACGGAGATGGGTAATGGGTGTGATTTCTCAGTTGGAGGATGGCCATTTCTACTTGGAAGACCTCACCGCTTCTGTAGAGATCAATTTGTCCGATGCAATATCCTTTTTAGATGATGTTCTTTTCATGCCAGTGAAAGTTTGTTCAGTTAGCTTCTCATAAATTGAAGTCTTCCTGCTTTTTCATTTCAACTCTATTTTCTTTGGCATCTTAAGAAGTGTCTATATTACCCAGGGGTTTGATAATTCTTTTTACCTTCTCATATGATCTGTGAAATCTGACTTCCCAGTCAGCCTACCATATAGAGACCGGTGCACAGCTGCAACTGCTTTTGATAGAGTCTGCTTCTAGGCTTTTCCGTGCATAGATTTGTCAAAAAAATCACGTGAATAGCTCTTGTGAAGTTGGGAGGAGGGGGTGAAAGGATGGAGAATGAAGTGAATGGATCTCATTTGAAATGAGCTGAACAATAGTCCAATGTAGTGCAGATAGCCATGTTTCACGGGATGAGCACATCATTGTTTTTCTCTTTCTCTAAAAAATTCTTAAGTACTTGTGATTAAGGTCAAGTATATTTAACTACAAAGAGAAGTCCCATACTGTTGTTTTCTTTGACAAGCAGTACAAGATAACGACAGGTTTCTTTACTGAGAATACCATAGTTGTAGCAGAAGGTCAGATGCAGCTGGAGGGGATTTTTAAGGTGAGTTGTGGCTTCTGTATTGGAATCTTGCTAGATTTTTCACTAACCGCCGCATTGTTCTCCTTTAACTTATTTTTGCTTTTAATATATCTTGATACATGATGTGTTGCAACTGACAAGGGAGTCTTTTCTGTTGGTTATTTCAATCATACACCGAGAAACCTTAAGAAATGAAGCAATCAAATTGACATCTGTGTTGTTTTACTTGGGAAAAAAGTTGTAATATAATTTTTTCGCAAATATACATGTTAATCCCTGTTGTGGGGGAAAAGGCATACGAAAATGTTAGAAAATGTCGTAAACAAGTTTAAGCTGATGATTCATAACAAGACATCATGATCACTTCTAGTTCATACACCGGTAGTGATATTCCGCTAAGATGTTGCAATGGAACTCTCTCGTGCTTTTGCAGTTGATCTAAGACAAATGCTTCTACATGCATGGCTTATTAATTTTAGTTCTGGTCATGTACTTTCCTTTCTCATAAGCTTACATGATTTACTTCTGCTTTCATTTTGTGAAATCGATGTCCTTCTAGATATTCTTTTTCTATTCTCAAAATCTGCGAATTATTATCATAGTATCTTAGTAATTGATTGAGGATCCTTTTCCAGATCAACTTTTTCTTGATTTAGTTTTTTAAAAGGTTAGAGATACAATCTTTACATCTTTCAACTCTGCTCAGAGTGTTCTATTACTCTGTCTTAGTAGCCTCTGGCTAAAATCTATGAAAATGTATCTTTTTAAATCGACACTCAGTCTAATTGTCTTGACAGTTTTGATTCAATTGGCAAAGTACATACAATTGCCTAAACATGATTGCCAAAGTTGCACGCTCCTATTCACATAGCTCTAACTAAATAGGTTTTATCTATCAGAATTCCTTCTTTCAATGGATAGATATGTGGCGTGAATTATCCGAACACATAGATGAAATGTCTGGCAGATTGAGATCGCGATGTACTACTTTCATAATTCTCTTTCTTCATTTCTTATCTGTCTTTTCAACCAGTACACAATGTCTTCTAGTTTACCGTAATATGAGAAATCATTGTGCCACAAACTTTCATTGAGTATGGAATAAGCAAACTGTTCTCTTAAAACAGGTTCCTAGTTTACAAGGAAAATCTTTCACTGAGTTATTATTTATCAATCACCAGTAGTATTAAGTTTTTACATCACTTACATGAGTTGTTACAGAAGTTATTTTAGCTGGTTTTCTTGTGTTTTATGATAGTTATCAATTCAAGTTTCTAAGATTTTTTTGGTTTGTCATGGAGATCTTTACGTGCGGATTTCCTCCTTTAGAAGACCGAGATAAGTCTCTGAAAGCACTTGCAGGGCTTGATTTTTTTGGAGGCGGTACATTAACCAAAGAGGAGACTGTATCCTGAACACTATATGGATTTAATAGATGGTGAAAATATCCAATTAGTTTATGAAACTTCTGCTGGATTATATTTTTCCTTTACGTGGTTTACAGCTCAGACTTGCAGAGTTAGAAAAAAGAGCAGTTAATGACATGTTCATCATCATGTCTGATGTTTGGCTAGACAATGAAGAGGTTATTTATGAAGACCTGCTTTAATTTATTTTTGAAGTTCTACTTTTCAGTGTGGTTTGATTTGAATATCATCTTTGTCCGTAGAGAAGGCTATGGGAAAACTAGAGACAGTCCTCGATGGATTTGAGAATGAGGAGGTAGTTCCTTCATTGTTTGTGTTAATGGGGAACTTTTGCTCTCGACCCTGCAACCTTTCTTTTCATTCCTACAGTAGCATCAGGTGAGCAATGCATTCAATTCTTGTTATATAGAAAACACAAGTTTCTTCTATTTTCCTCTGTACAGATGGTTTGTAGTAGATGGTAACAAGTAGTGTGTAAATGTAGAGCACAGTTCAGCAAGCTTGGGCAGATGATTGAATCCCACCCACGTCTGAAGGAGCATAGTCGGTTTTTGTTTATTCCGGGCCCTGAGGATGCAGGTGATAAATACATATGATCTGATTTGAATTGCATGGACCTCATTGCTAAAGCCCTAAGAAAATCGACTTCCCCTTTTTTCAGGTCCCTCAACAGTTTTACCTAGATGTGCTTTGCCAAGATATATCACAGAAGAGTTTCAGAGTCGCATTCCAAATGCCATATTTTCAAGCAATCCTTGCAGGTTGTTCTTAGGATGATAAATCCAATTATGAAAACGTAGAACTTCATAATGACATTGTGAATATGTGCTGGGTTTTGTCTGCTTGTACCGACTAACACCTTTTGTTTTATCTTCACTGTTTCTGTCCTGCGTTCCCTGACAGAATCAAGTTCTATACCCAAGAAATTGTATTTTTCCGCCAGGATTTGCTATACAGGATGCGTCGCTTGTGTCTGATGCCTCCCTCCACAGAAGAAACGAGTGATCCTTTTGAGCATGTAATGTTCCTAACAGTCTAAAGCTGCATAAGATTTAGCTTGCGCACCTCACACTTCGCTGCTACCGCTATGAATCTAATCATGTCGTTTGCTGCAGTTAGTTGCTACAATAACGCATCAAAGTCATCTATGCCCTCTCCCTCTTGTCGTGCAACCGGTCATTTGGAATTACGATCATAGTCTCCATCTGTATCCAACTCCACACACGGTAATAATAGCTTCGTATTCCCTAATTTTCTATTAAAATTATGCTTTGCTTGTAGAGGTTCAAGATTATGTGAAAGGACTTGATGCCATTAAGAAAAAGAAAAGGATAAATGTTCCTTGTAACCTCACCGACGTTTTATTTTTTTGTTTCTAATTCAGATAGTTTTAGGCGACAAGAGCGAGCAGAAGGCGTTCAGTTACACAGGAATCACTTGCTTCAATCCTGGTTCTTTCTCAACTGATGGCACCTTTGTTGCTTATCGCCCTTGCACTCGAGAAGTCGAGTTATCAGCCTTACCAGCATAAAGAGATCCTAACAGAACATTATTTATCGGCCAACCACCTTCATCTGAGGACCGGAAAAGCTAACTTGTTCGTAGCGTACCATTTGTGGAAGATAACCAAGTCACTTGTGTACAGAATTGTTAGGCTATGCAGAAGGTTTTTTTGGCCACTGGCCATGCGGAGACTCAAAGATGCATTCATAGCATTCTACCCGAAGAATAGGTTTAACTTTTCTTTGGTTAATTTGTACCATCTTCCATATCATGATAGGCATTCGTGAAAATGGGAGGCAGTTCTTTTAGTGTAAAGGAGAACATTGCTCCATTTTCCGACTGCTAATACAACTCAAAAAGTTTCGAGTGAATATTACCTGCTCTTTTTCACTAAAAGCTTCTGAAAACAATGCCGCAGCATCGTGAACCATGCTTCATCGTTAAGGGTTAGAGTATAGAAGCTTGGCTCAGAGAATACTCTGTTTGCCTTTCGCCCCATATCTGAGTCTCGCATTTCAGATATGCATTTGAAGTTCTGATTCCAAATGTAGCCTTCCAGAAAATAAAATCAACCAAGTAATATGGTAACCCTGAGATTATATTCTAAATCTACAAAATTCTCAATGCCTCTTCCCTGTGCTGGTGAGGCCCTCTGTAAGACGGTCTTTCATGGTGTGCCCCCTTCAAGCACCTCCTGCATGGTTCGGTATCAATCGAAATGCTCCACTGAACTTGGCTGCACTTAGTCCACAACCAGATGCTCAGTCTCTTGGACGAAAAAAAAGAAGTCAATTTGTTATGGTGTCAACAGAAAACAGCTTCCATAACAATGTAGTCGCATGTATTGACAACTTACAGCGTTAACTGTCAACACTCTATACATGTAATTACCCTACAAGCATTTGTCCTGAAAATGGAAGAGTAACGTTCATGAATTGTGTAAACTCTTTCGAACACAGCTTTCGTAACCGGAATATTCTCTACAACAAAAAGCGCACACTCGCTACCCTCAGACATTCATTTCTTTTCCCACCCTTCTTTTGTCCGCCTTGTCTTCATGTTTTTCCTTATGTCATGTCATCATTCATCTGCTGAATTCACAAAGAAGAACACAAGAGATGCCACATGACCCCAGAATATGAAGTGCATATGACGTCATGATACGATATCATCTTGCAAAAGGATCTCATAAATATCAGTCCGCAGATTTAATTCTTTATCCCTCATCACTTCTTGCAGATCAGATAGCTCTTTGGCACTTAGGATGGAATTTAGTTTGAGAAAACCATCCAACCACAACTTTTTGGACCTGTGAAAAAGTACATAAGCAAACGACGAATATATTAGGAATAACTACCAATATTTAACCATAACAGAATCACAGCAGCGGCTTTAGTGCCGTAAGATTCACAATAGCGTTAGAGGCAAAAACTGCACATTGATCGAGGTACATAGGTTTCCCTATTTACATCTAATAGAAATGCAAGCGATGAAGAAGTAAATTAGCATGAAATCCCGAGCAAACTCCTTTTCATTTAATGATTATCACTTTCTTTAACATCACTTTCTTTCGTTATAAATCAACCGGGCTATTTTTCATTTAAAATCACTTTCTTTCACCAGAAGATTCTTTGACCGAATTTTAGGCCAGAAAATAAAACCATTACTCTCAACATCAAGCTGCTCTAAACCTCGCCCTATTGTAACCACATAGTTTTGAAACTTATCGCAACTTCCTTTTGCATTGCCATAGTTTCACTTTTTGTTTTTGCCATAGCATCGCCTATTTGGAACATTTCCACCAAAATAAACTGGGAAGCACATATACAGCAAATAGCGAGTGTCTCATCTCTCCATCTAATCAATATGCAAACCTTCCAAAACTAAGCATTACTTGTTCTTCGACTTAAGGTGAAAGCACTCACCATGGACAGGCGTGAATGGCTCGAAAGAAAATACGCCTAGCTCCAGAAGGGTTTTGTGCTATATCAATCTCATATGCAATGTAGGAGCGCCACATTAATACAGATGTCCGCAAACTGTCATTTGCCAATGCCCTCTCAAACAATCCATGTATTCTGTGCCTGGAACCACCTCTGCCCATCTCAAATGCCAAAGCAAAAAGCCATACCACTACCGAAGGTCTCCTGGAAATATTAAAAGGAGTTATCCTCTCAAAAAAGCTTATCCAGACGATCAATCAAACAGTGGAAGGAAAAAAACAGGAACATGCACCAGAATGCTTAACAAAGAAGCTGCAAAACGTACTTTGTTGAATACTTAAAGATAGGAGGTTGTTTGTGGCAGAAAAGAGACTTCTTTTGGAGGTTGAGAGGTTAAAAGAAGGAAGAGACCCTATGTCACTTTAAAAAGAGAATTGTTTACACAATGAAAAGGGGTAAAGACCAAAAGCTTCAAAAGGATCCTTACTCCATTTAAATCTATCACAGGAGCAAGCTCTTGTCCAACAGAGTAATGCAAAAACACAAGGAGATTTTTCTGGTAAACCATAGAGATGGTTGATAAAGTTACAGTGGTTCTAGGTTGATCGATTCCTTCACTATCGGTCAACCAGGAACCATAGGCAACCCAACCCCCCTCCCCTCCCCTCCCCCCCTCAAAATAAGATAAAAAAATCTCCCCCAATAAGCTGAGTAGAAAAATCATGATAATAAGATTCAGTTAGCCAATAAAAATAAGTGCAGTGTTTGGTGAAGATCCACACAATTTACCCTTTTTTTTATCTAGACTTAATCTTCCGCCAAGGGAAAGGCAATACAATTACATAACAGGGACTGTTTGTGTGTGTGTGTGTGTGTGTGCGTGTGAGAGAGAGAGAGAGAGAGATGGAAAATGACTAAGTAAAGGAAATATAATTACTTGTGGCATAATTCATCAAACGTCCAGCGCAGCTTATTTGGTGATGTATAGAGATGGCTGATCTCTACTAGAGCACTGAAAAGTTCTGGACTGTATGGATATGTCTGCAATCCATGCAAAATGGAATCCCAAATTTTAGATAGACCCAACTGCCCATGATGTCTCTGCAGCATCTTCACGTAATAGTTAAACAGATATTCAAGTTGATAACTGTTACTTCTTCTCTCTGGACAGAAGGAAAACAAATATCCTATCAACATATAAACTAAAATGAAAAACTAAACCACCATAAAAATTCAAATCCAAGGATAGTGCATGTAAACACAGTAGTAGTGTCATGCCTAATTTCGAGCCAAAAAAAGGCAGATATTTGTGCATCCATCCTCTATCACTGTTGTTGGCAGTTGATAACTAAGTCTGACACAATTTACATCAAAAAAGGCTGATTTCAACGCTTTGTATGCAGATAGATATAAACATAAAGATGCCCGCACCCTAAGCCCATATCACAGAATTCTAGCTTAAAGCTCTACTAAATAAATGAGACCGAGCTTTTGGGTTACTGAAAAATCACTTTTCAATACGGATAGTTTGTTAGACTATGTTAGACTATGTGGACTCTCTCTCTCTCTCTCTCTCTCTCTCTCTCTCTCTCTCTCTCTCTCTCTCTATGTAACTTTTGTATACGGGTAGCACCCCCTTGAGTACCTTTCGTGTACAAATTTTCCTATTAATCTTCACCCCCCCCCAAAAAAAAAAGAAAAGAAAAGAGAGAGACTGAGTTACCTGGAAGCACCATTGAAAGAGCTTGATCTAAAACCTCTATACCTGTTGCCCATCCACTAGTCAACTCCTCAAACAAAGCAGCCGAACAGACAAGAGCAACAGACTGATCGTTCACAGAACCACGCGACCATGCTGAACGTACTGTTCTCAATCTCTCTCTGAACCCCTGGCGCGCTCTAAGCAGTTGCATTTGTGATGGTTGGCATTTGAATGAGCTGTACGCTACACCACTCGCTAGGCAACACAAAATATGCATTGCACGAAATAAGGACTCTTGATCATCGACATGATTGCCGAAAAGCTCTACTTCGGCATACCAGAAATATAACAGTGGAGCATCAGACTGTCGTTCCTGATCAAAAGAAGGTGAAAATTTAATGGCAAATAGTAATTCATGCGCCATTTTCTTCAGATAAATAATTCATGGACAAAGAGAACGAAAATTCTTTCATGGGGTTTCTAGCAATTCCAACAATAGAAATAGAGACATGCTTCTACCAGAAAGTGGGGCATTAGATTACCCAAAAAAAAAAACGAAAAGAAAAGAGGCAAAATCACAAGACTCATTTTGCAGACAGGATAGCCAACTCAGCCCGTGACAATGCACTTCAGATTAATAATAAAATTCCAAAGCTTTTCACTAGCATAACCGAGGTGTAAAACAAGTTATGCTCTCAATTTTAAGCAGACACAATGTAAGACTGATAGCACAACTTTCTGATGTAAAAACATGAGTCAAGCTGCTTTACTCGGGACCAATATCTGATACTATAGGAAACTTCAGAAACCACTGGAAGGATGTCTGAGGAGACCGAAACCTTACCGGAGGAAGTACTTCAGCAGATGACAATGCCATGTCGAACACTTTTCTTGCAAGATCAATATTCCCAGAAACAGCTTCTCTCCGTGCATAAACTCCGCAGAGTAATATATCCTACGATACCAGCAAAGCAAAAACAGTAACACTGTGAATACAGTCTTAGGTCAAACCATGAAAATATAAATAGACATACGTAGTGTGGAGAATTTTCTATTCCAACTTTTACTGTAGACAAGTGGCCCCTTAAGAACAGCATGCACAAAGACATCAGGTTCACATCCCTTAACTTAAGCCATTAGACATCTAAAGCCAATCATGATTCACACATTAATTTTCATATTCCAAAACCTTCCTCTTTTCTGCAAAGCAAGTACTTGGAAAAGACAATGCATAACTTCTTATTACAATAAAATGCCTGTATACGAGGATTTGATAAGTCCTAAGACTACCAATCTTGCACCATCAAGTTCTCCTTTATATTTAATTTTTCTTCTCAACAAGTCAAGTTTTCCTAACATTTCATGTAATGTAAGGCTGCTGATCTCACATAAAAATCGCTTTTTTCCATCTCCATCCCAAGGTTTGAGGTTCAAAATGGTTAATCATCCCCTTCCAAATAAGGGAGACGCCACAGATGCAGCAACTGCCGAGAGATGATACTCATAGATTGCTTAGGAAGAAACATGTAATGAGCCTATCCTCTCTTCTCTATTCACTTCAATATCTATTCTTGATTAGTGCAGTATCAAAAGCGTCTCAACTTACACCAGAATTAATACCTGACGATCCCTTTTTAAGAGGCTCTTTGCAAGAACACGACATGGTGTTCCAGAATAGCTAAGAGAATTCATTTTCGTAACTGAAAGCTCTTCAGCAATGAGTGCTGCTTCTTCCAAGACATAGTTTCTTGGAAAAGCAGTGAGACAAAGTAGGATAGCATTGCGCAGAAAACTCATCATGGGGCCCTTTTCAGAAATGTCATTGTTACAGCTCAAAAGGAATTCCATACTGCAACTGTTTGAAGTATTATCCACTTTCTTTAATGTATCGTGGACTCTTCTAAACCAATGTAATAAAGCATCAGGCAATTCTTCAAGGCTCGGGATTTTCTCCAACCAGCTTGAGTTGTTTGTGCAAATCCTAAGACAAAGCCAGTATCATTATGAAGTGACAACATAATGAATGCATGCAAAGTTGCCATCACTCATCCAAATGTATGGCAAAGACAAAAGTTGATCGACACAGTATCAGTATACCACTCAAAATTAAGCAAAGAACTTGAATTTTAGTTAAAAAACTAGAGATCAGCACATGTTTGAGATGCCGCACACCCCAAATTCGTAGTGAAGTACAAAGAGGTAATCAAGTTTCGACAGAAAGCTCATGATTCTACATGATAATCAACCGGTTGGTATGAATTTATGCATTAGAAGGGTGTTTCCACTCAGTTCGACTAAAGAATCATCTTCCGTTTCAATTGCTTATGAATCCAATTAAAGATGTATAAAGCCATGTCAGAAATACAAAAGCTAGCATCCTCAGAAAACCAGATGTCAGCTATGTTCTAATCAAATACAGTTAAATAAATTCCTCCAACTATGATCCCTACTTGAACAGAGTTGCATCCGTTACTAAAACAAGTTAGCATCTGGAGCACCTTGCTGCCTAAACATACCGATGTCTCTGTTTCAATATCTAATACAGCCAAATCAGTTATACATCAAACAACTACCAGGAATTTCAATGGATGCCATGAAGATCATCTGAATTTCCTGCACAAGGATTGACAGACTACTGTCCGATCTTTAATCACATGGGAGCTCCTAAAAGTTCTTAAGCATCCTCAGAATAAGAGAACTAAATTGGTTTAGAAATGCCAAGGGATGCGCTGAAGTGAACATGACATTTCCAAATATGACCCAAATGACCAACCACAAGCAATGGTAATGACTAAAGCTGGCAGTAAATTATGTATCACTTGATATCATTGTCATTACGAGATATGAAATATGATGCAATTTAATGCAAAGAAGAGGACAAAACTGTCATGCATCGCCAATCTAGTGCAACCTACCTCTGAGATATCTTTCCACCAAAAAATTCAACGAACTGTGTCACTAAGAACAATCGGCTCTCTTCTGAGCACAGTGAGAACAAGTATTCACAAACATCCTCAAACAGAATGACCCCAAAAAGATCTTCATCCTCCTCTTTGTCACTATCCTCATTAGTACTAGACTTTCCTGCTGTTTCAGAGTAAAACTCCTTTTAGTACCACATGGAAAAACAAAAACTAAAGCATGAAAGCTTGTTCCTGCTGGAGCAGAAACTAGCATCTAAACTGAAAAAAAAATTACAGAAACTGGGAGAGAGAGAGACCTGATTTTGCATGTACAGGCATCCAGTGAATGCAATCTCTTGAGGACTCTTCTACCGACCATCTAGTCCAAGTGGAAACGTCTTTGACATTGTCACTGGGACCGGTGTCGACATCAATTCCTAGCATCTTTAACAAAGTTTCAGTGTCGTCTTCCTGGTTTGTGTCCTCGGGCTCACCATCCTCCTCGACATCCTGAACAGCAGCATCAGGAACCCCTTCCAATGGTTTATCAGTTTCCTTGTGCTTGGACAGTGGTTCGAACCATCCTGTCCAACCTCCTTTTTCGTTGTCTTGCGAGGTCTCCTCCTTGATTATCCTCTGCCTATATTCCTCCTCCTTTTCCAACCACGTGGACCAACCAATTGCCCCTTCTTCTCCAACTCTTGCACCACCACTGCTCCAAAAATGCTCAAAGAGCCTTTGCTTACTGTTCTCAGTCAGGCATAACGAAGGACAAAACAAACTAAATTCAATTTGGGCCTGGAACAAAGCTGTCGCCAGTTCCCGGTAACCAGCCTGCCACTCAAACCTGCAAAGGCTGATAAAAACCTCAGCAAGTCCAAGCTCCAGCTGTACAACAGTGGGATCACGAGATGCATCAGACATCTGGGAAACCTGCACAAAATAGACAAAGTAGCGAACAAAAAATTCTAGTTTAGCGGGAGTTTTAGAGACCCTAGCATCAAATAAAAAGCCCACATATTTGTCGCCCAAAGAGACGGCCATAAGTCTTACAGATTTTGATTTTTGACTACAATGCATAGTAGGGTCGATCTGTTTTGTATAGAGCTAAAAATTTGATTTAATAGTGTTGGTGTGGCAATATCAGGTGATCATTTGATGGTGCGAGATTATGAAGCACTCTCTATTCTCTCGTCCTGCATTTTTTAGTTTTCTTTCTCTCAAGTGAGTGCCAATCAAAAGTCACATTCATTACAAAGTATGTTGCCATCTTGCAAACAAGTACATCAGCAAATCAAAACAAACAAGATAAACAGGTCTATCTGTATTGTTACAGTAAATGAGAACGCCAGTGATCACTTTATAATGACCAGTCTACATAACCAGTCCCATGCAAAAGCGAAATTTTCTCCACATGAAGTCAAATTCTAGTTCCTCCTTGTGTCTTTCCCATCACAGGAATCTGTTAGATCTACATAATAAAAGAAAACAGGAAATCGCTAACTAATCAAAGCTTCTCAAACTGTCATCATATGTAATGATATCATTCCCTTAGATTATAGTTTTTGCTTACTGAGGACAAATCTTGATAGCAACTTCCTTTCTTTTAATTGTTGGAATATGTATACTTAAGAATCTCCCAAACAACCAAAACATTAAAAATACCCAAATAACATATCTTTTCTTGGTTTTTATTTCTTTCAATCTAATTTCTAGGCTTGTATTTCTTTGAAGAAACCTAGTTGGCGTATTTCCCCCTTAATGGTTTTTCAGTGCCTTTGAATGTCGATATCTAGATACATATATTCATGATGAATCTATTGCATAAAAGAAAAAAAATCTGCAACCAAGATGCTTGGAATGACAATGTCGTTTTTTTCATTTTGGCTAAAGGCTTCCTTCATCGGAGGCAGATAGTTAAAAAGTTCACACACGAGCTTCAAAGTGCATGTGCTTGTGAGCTAACTATCACATCAGAAAACTTCAGAAGGGAAATAAGGAGCATCAATAACAGCTCCACAACAACAGCCCATTTGCTTCAGTGAAAACCCAAGATATACAGCACCATATTAATCCTCAGTATACTAAAAGCCAGTTTCAGGGCCGGAGAATTGTTATATGTAACAAAAAGAGAACCTGCCTAAGCTGCTTGATGCATGATGAAGATAGCGCTTGGATTGCATGTGAATACATCTTCCTCACTTCAGAAACCTTGAACCGGGAAAATTCTCCCTTAAGAATACGTAAAAACTCTCTCCACAAATTCGCACTACTTGAATGCTGCACAAGTATCTTCTCCCATCTTCCAAGGAGCACATCGCTGCTATCTCTGCTCTGATAAGCTTTGAGGAGACGAAGTAACAGTTCTTCATTATCTGGGTTAAGCTCAGCTGCTTTCTCCAGTATACCAATCTTCTTTTCCAGAGTTTGCAAGCGAGCACCTTTCTGTGGCTGCCTACTTGCTACCTTATCTTGAAATTCAGCAAATTCTAGCCAAACTTTGTCGTCGTTGGGATTTTCTCGAGTCCTCCTATTAAACTCCCGGGTCTTGCGAAGCACCTCATCTTCCCAAGATTCCTCGACCATAAAAGTTTCAACAACTGAACCAACATCCTTACTGTCTTGCAAAGTTTTGGGCTCCATTAAAGAAATGAACTCTCCTGGGAGGTCAGAAGTGGATTTCCTTGGTGCCAACATACGCGAGCGCTTATAATTTCTATGACGTTCCAAGGCTGAATACTTTGGAGACCAATATCTTCCAGCAGATTTTAGTTTACTATCCAGTGCATCTACATCACCATCTGCATCCAGAATTGAACCCTTCTGCTGATACAACCTTCTAAACTCAATGCCAATAGTCTTCTCAGGATTTAAAATTTTGTGGCGAGCCACATCCATTCTGCAAATAGGGTAACCGTTCAAGATGGCTTCATGAACAGACCAAAAAAAAAAAAAAAAGATGGCTTTATGCAACTAACAGAAGGAATTATTCTGTTTGAATTATTACGCATAAATAAGCTTAGACTCAAAGGAGCTGAGCTACCAGAGAAAGTTTACTTCTACAAACAAATTCATCCGCATTTCAAAGACCACAGATGTCGCATGGACTGAAAGAAACCAAGTGCGTACCTGTAGATGCTTCCGAAAGCCAAATTATCGCGGTCGCCACGAGAATCGAAGTAGTAATCTTTGGCAGGCTTCAAAGCCGAACCAGCCCATGCCCTCACATCAGACTTCCTCGAGCCGAATTCACCCGCTCCATCGTCTCCTCTCTCTCTGGATCTCTTCCTCCTGCGCTTGCTCTTCTTCTTCCTCCTCCTGCTCTCGCTCTTCGAATCTCCGCCGGACTCGGACGACTCCAATAGGTCGTACGAAGTCCCGGTAGCGGGCAAGTCGCCCTCCCGTCCCCTCCCTCTCCCGTCGTCCGATTCCGATTCCGAACGCGGGGAGGCATGCCGGTCGTGGACGGAGGAGACGGCTTCGTTTATGGCGGCGAAATCGGCGGTGAAGCTGGAGTTGGAGAGCCACTGAGGGACGCGCGGCGCGACTGTGGTGCCGGCGGCGGGGGCGTCGGACAGAGGGAAGAGAGAAGACGTGGTTCCGGGCTCTTCTCGCGATTCTACTGCGCCCGTCTCGCCGGCGGCCATGGCGGTTGCCGCTGCTTCGGCTGCTTCGCTCTCCATCGGAACGTCGAACCTCGAGCTCTTCCGCGATGACGACGACGGAGACCGACTGACTGCGGTGATAGTTAGCCCCGATAAGGCGAGTGGGTCCGCTTTATAAAACGGGTCGTACCATTTTCGAGCGGGTTTGGATCGGATCTATTGTTTGGGCTTTTAATAGGCCCGGCCCAATGGAAGAGGATGGGGGCCGCGAGTGGTCATTGGATTCGGGTCGGACCCCTGCATCGGACCTAAAATATTGTTTAGGCCCCCGATCAAGAGAGAATACGAAGAAATTACGGGAAAGATTATCGAAAAAGTTATAAATCTCTTGTAATTTTGTCAATTTGGTCCCAAATATTTTTTTCTGTCAATTGAGTCATAAACCTTTTCCATTTATGTCAATTTAGAAATTGTTCCCGAGAAAAAAGAAGTAGGTTTTGTTTTACATCTTATTTCTTATTAAAATCTATTCGCTGGCTACTTTTTTATTCCGGGAAATAGAAAAATTAGCTGACGTTACCAAATGAATTTCTGTTCTTTTATTGTTGGGGGAACAAAAGAAAAAAAAAAGAGAAACGGGATAGTTACCAAACATGTCCTAAATGTAAAAATTTTCCCTCCTTCTCTTCTTACAAAGAGATTTCGAAAATTTCCGCTCAATCTTTCATTCTCTACGCTTTCTTATTCTCCCAAACGGACATTAGGCCCCAAGTCGTACCGCTGATTCTTATTCCAAATCTCAATTTAGGCTTCGAGCAGAATCAGTTGCTAGCAAAACGTTTTTCACAAAATATACCATCGTAAATATTTAAATGGATTTCACACTATAATATGATACGTGCAAAATTATTAATTATAACATCGTTACTCATTAGAGCTCTTGATTTAACAAGATCAGTCTTGAATGGAATAGCGTTACAATAAGCCATCAAAAGATGAGCACCTGTATCGCTGCCCATGTTAAATATCTGTTCTACTGCGAAATTGTATAACTTCCTTATTAAATAATACTCCCAGAATTAATTTTGTTCACATATACCTTTTCTTATTCGCATCAATAATAATATTAATTGTCGCGATATTTAATCAAATACACCAACTTAAATAACCATTGTTGACATGTATCAGGACACCTATTGACCAAATCCAATAAAAAAATTTCGATCTCAATGCACTGATTATGCGACAAACGAGAAAGATAATATTTTAAAAATGACAAACTTTCTCGGTTTGGATTTTTTTTTTTACTCATACTCTCGGTTTGGATATTAACGAGGCACTCGTTAAAGATAAAATTATACCGTGGTTAAAAAATCTATTATTCTGGTCAATGTGTCGTGATGTTTTGAATTGAAATGAGTTGCTCATCTTCTTTTCGATTGGCCAAGGATGACATACTTTTATGTCAAAACACCTCAAAGTCAACTTTTGGTCCACACTTTTCCCAATAAAATTGAAAAAAGAAAACCCTAAATCAACTCATTACCTTAATTTGACTTTGCTATCATCCATTTTACAAAAATTGATCTATAACTTACTTTTCCCCAATTCGTGTATTTCGGTTCGAAATTGACAAAAAAAACAAAATTAGTTCATTTCTAGTTATTTTTTAGGAAAATTTCCTTCACAACATTTTATCAGGAGGTCATTCTGCATTCAATTTTCAAATCAATTTTAAAATCCCAAGCCGAAGGTAAAAACCCCAATTAGTGATTCCGATCAATTCTTCATAATTATTTCTTTTTTTTGTCAAAATTCTTCGTAATTATTTCAAATTAACCAAAATTGGACACAATTGATTGACCGAAACTCAATTCCAATATCAATTTTGACAAAGTCATGCCAATTGAACTCGATATGAGTAATTTGGTAATCCAATGATTAGGGAATTCAAGAAAAATGGGTCCAATTCGCACGATTCACTTTGACCCATTTTAGATTAGACATTAATTTGATCAATTGAGATTCAATTTTGCCAATTGAGTCTCAATTGCGTGCATTGGTCTAGTTCGGTACTGCAACTTAGCCCAATTTATAGGGGAACCTAGTCGAGCAAGCCAAAATTGGTTAAATTGTGTCCACATTTCAAATTGATTTGATTCAATTTAATCAAATTTAATTCAATTGAGTCAATTAATCATAATAGGGCTAGAATTGCAAGGAAATTAGAATTAAATTGAACTGGAATCAAGCCGATTAGACTCGGTCCGATCGGGTCAACCTGGCATTGATCGGCCGATTTTTATGGCCATTCTTTAGCCAGCCGGTGTCCATTCTGACCAATCATAGCCATAGCCGACACTCCCGTTCCCTTATGCACAAAAATTACCAAATTGCCCCCTCTTGACAAAAAGACCTAAATGCCCCTAATCCTTGTCACTTCAAATTGACCAATATGTGCCTTTCTTAATAGCTAAGCAAATGATCTTGGCCATTTATTGTTAGCTCATTGAAATCATCCATTATGCCAAGTCATCAATCCTTGTCACTCAAGATAAATCAATGAGAAATTCTTTAATAATAAATTCTACGACTATATCAATTATTTTTATGTGAACAATGTATAATTTTACATCGTATTTAAAATAATCCCATTGTCTTCTAATAATAAGAGTGTTCATACATGTACTTTGCACGTTCGTTGCACGGGAGGTGCACATATGATGCATGTGCATTACATGAGATAAAAGATATTGATGTGCCTTTGTGCTTCGAGCAAAAGAAAGGACCAAGACAACTATTGAGAACAGTTACAAAAGAAAAATTTCTCTTTATTTTCTTCACAACCCCGATTAGCACTTATCTATAGCTAAGTGTAGTTTTTAACCTAAAATGAAAATAGAAAAGAAAAGAAAAGAACAGACAAAGAGGCCCTTACTAATAAAATTTGGCTTAATGTATTATATTCCCTATATACATACATTTTTTGGAATTTCAATTTTGAAGAAGTTCTACAGAAGGTTCTATATCAGCATTTATCACCACCCAAGACAATTTGAAGGTGATAAGAACAAAAGTAGATAAAATTATAGAGTATGAATATGGATGAAACAACAATTACGAATATACGCTACAATATGTTATCCAAAGAAAAAGTAGCATCAGTGCTCAGGTCAAACATAGAGGAAACCACACCCACACAACACGACAAACGAAGGACGGTTGTTCATTCTACCAAAAAGAAAAGAGAAAACAACATTCGTAGTTTCAAACTAACCCGGCTCCCATCCGAGGAAGAGCTCCACCTCGCGGCTCTTCATAATACACAGGTAGCAACCGCTTGGGAGCGAGCGATCTATGGGGAACGGCTAAGCAAAAGTGGAATGACATTTGAATAACAAAGACAGAAGAGATATGGAACTTACTCGGTTTATATTGGTTCCTCACCTCGATAGGGAACAAACATCTAAATTGGATATTTTTAGATACTTTTTCAGACCTATTCTACGAATATATGTTATCTACAACTAAGAAAACAACAACTACTAATATGGATCAATACAATAATTACGAATATACGTGTTATCTACAACTAAGAAAAAAATCATCATATGGCGCATGCCGTAGATGGCGGAGGAGGAGTTGTAGATGGCGCACTTTAGCTGGCATGAGTAGTGCACCGCCTCGTTGTGTGCTTCGGTGGCACTACTGCATTTTGTGCAATGAAGATTGTGAGAGAAATGAAGATTGTGACTTAAATGGCTGAGCAAGAGATTTTGATAGTTGATGAAGGAGACTGAATGGCGGAAAGGCTTTATTTATAGAGGAGGGGAATGGCATTTCCATTATTTTCTAAAATCAAAAGCGAGAGAAAATGGAAAAATAGAGAAAGAAAATGTACCGTAAGCCATTCATTGCCGCCGCCTCGTTCTCCGGGGTGATGCTGGCTAGAGGATAAAATTTGGATTTTCAAAACCTTTAAAATAATCCCATCATCTTCTAATAATAAGAGTGCGTTTAGTACTTTTCACATGAGTTACACGTGAGATGCACGTCCATTGCACGTTCAGTGCACGCACGATGCATTACATGAGATAATAAATATTGATGTGCCTCGTGGAATAAACAAAAAAATCAATTTTGAGTGTACATTATATACTGGTTAAAGTCTTTTCTTGGGTTCTACGATTTTGTCTTTTTGAACCTCCATGAAAATAATATTTTCCAAGACTTGGTTGTCTTGTCTCTCTTCGCTAAAGTGACAATTGTATAATTTTTATAGTAGATTAGTGTCGAAGTGTAGTTTAGATAGTGAGAATAAATTCTCTCCTCCCATAGCTCAGCTTCAGTATGATGGTCATACTCTTAGAAAACATAAAGTAGATGGGAAATAATTAATTCTAATGTCTAACCATGTTCGCCAGTTTAATGATTTACTATAGTACCGAGAACAATAACAGTAAAAACAAATATCAACTATCTAAAAGTAGAAAGCGAAGAGACATTGGCAGAATTTTTTGGCTCACTAGATTGGATCTACAGATACAGGAGGAAAATATAATATTGCTTGCGAAATGGAAAATCACTCGAGAACATTTTGCTGTAGATGTCAACTGAACACATAAATTGTCTTCAATGAGGCATTGGAGCCGCTCTTCGGACCATTTCACATTGTGGAAAAGCTAAATATACATGACAAAGGGACATATGGACATATGTGCCCATAATTATACGTATGCACATTTGTACATATATATATAAATAATAGGCATAGCATCTTCTACTGACAACAGCCTAACTTAATCAGTACATCTACAGGTTGAAAAGGCCCACCGGCTCTGTTGTGGACACAAGAGACCTGTATTTCTTCAGCGCCCCATAGAGTCTCTTAGGAGAGAAAACAATGCAAGAATTGACACATCTTTTCCAAGAAAACAAGAGGAAAGTGCCCAGAGAAGACACTATCAATTAACTTCCCCATAGCCTCTCTCAATCCTACAGTTCTGCCACTTCCAATCTTTCCTATAGTTAAGTTTGTGGTAAGCTTCTTTAATCAACTCTCTCCCTCGACAGTTTGGGGAAAAACACAAGGATTAGACCTACCAAATGCAGCCTTAGTGTATTACTGCTTCTAAAACATCATACCCCATCATGCATTGAAATGCCATTAGACCTACCAAACTACTAGCTCCCAATGTTGTTCTTCTTCCATCTTCAAGCTCCCCATTTTAAACAGCCCTTTAATCCACTCTCTGGAACAGATGCCAGCTTGATAAGTCTTAAAAAGCAAGAGGCATTTGCAAAATGGAGCACGGCAAGGATCAGAGGCAACAATTGAAATACATAAGGAGCTCATTCTTTTCTCGAGGTTTCTCGATGAGAGATTTATTAGATGGTTCGACGGAGCCTTTCATCTCTTTACAGGTGTGATAATTGTGCCTATACGAGATGTCACACCTACACCTCTACTTGATCTGTTAGTGAAAAAAAAATTTCCCTGCATTTCAGAGTCCTCTCCACGAAATCCTTCACCCACCAAGAGCAAAAAATCTAATTCATCCTCCATCAAACCTTCTTTCTTCCTAGCCTGAGCAACAAGCTACAACTAGAATATCAAGTCTCCACACCTATAAAATGATTGATCAGCTCAGCTAACAAGAACATCCACTAATTAACTGATAATGCCATCATAGTAGTCATCCAAGCCTAATTGAGTATTCTGAATCCTCTCATTTCGACAACTAGATTATTTTGTATCCCTATTCGAGGTGAAGAAACAAATAATATATACCCTGTACTTATGCTAATTATTGAGACCTAAATAACTGCATGAGCCAAATACAAAATGGTTTATCTAGTTTCATCCTAAAATAATCAAAATGGTTAATATCACGAAAAATCTCAAACTGATATACTTGTGACAAATTTACCCAAAACTAATTTTTTGACCATCAAAAACCCTAAACTGGTACACCTGTGACAAATTTATCTTCAGTTTGTTTCCGTTAAATTTTACTGTCAAATTACTTTGTTAAATGACACGTGACAGTTAATTGATGTACCGGTTTTATGTTTTACTATACATTTGTCACGGGTGTATCAGTTTGTGATTTTTTGTGGTATTAATTCAATTTAACGGAAACTAACGGAGGGTAAATTTGTCACAAATATACCAATTTAGGATTTTTTAGTGGTCTAAATATTAATTTGGGGTAAATTTATCACATATGTAACAGTTTGAGATTTTTTGTGGTCAAAAAATAGTTTGGGGTAAAATTGTTACAGGTGTACCGATTTTTGAATTTTCGTGGTATTAACCCTAATCAAAACTCACCAAACTCTCATCGTCTTATCCAACGATCACATTGATTCTAGATGAAGGGTTTGAAATATCATATGAGGTAATTTCGGTGATAATGATTCTCTAATAGTAGACATAAGACTGTTCAGTGGCGATCTTGTTGGATTCAATTACCTTAGGACCATCTTGTTGCAATATTTATAAAACAAAACTGTAAAATTTGTCCACGTTAGCGCCGGTCATGCCACATAGAATGACCGATATCCTCATTAGTAATTTGACAAATTGTCAAAAGGACTAAATTGACACAACTGAAAGGTTTAGAGCTCAATTAATCGCCGTACAATAGGCTTATGCCTTTTTGGATAATCTCTTCAAAGCAAACTTACTACTTTCTGGCCAAAAAAAAAAACTTACTACTTAATCTTTTATAATCGCATTTATTCTTGTATTTTATGCATTTGTTAGAAGAAAACACAAGAAAAAATATATTCGATGTCATACTGTTGATGCACAACTTAGCCTCCAAGGATCTATTAAGGTTTTCACTACCAATTGGACCTACAGGCAGGCTATGTTACTTCCATTCTCTTATTGTATTTCCTAATATATGTAATCTCACTTTCATCCAAATTGATTGAATTTGTAAGAACCGTACTTGCAAGTTCATGTCATCACTAAATGTGATCTTTAGCATTATAGCATGGCTACCGAAACAACTGAACATTAAGTTCAACTTTGGCGAGATCCTTTTGCTGCATGTTTCTGGTAGTTACACACTATTTTAAGATCATGACATGTTCGGCGACAGTTAACGGTGATAGAGTTTCCATAAATTATAACCAATGTGAAAAGGAAACGATTATAATACTGTTACATTGTCACAGAAGAATAGGTAGCGAGGTTCTTTTTTTGTAGACGTGTGAAGTTTTTCTCCGAGGTAATAGCACGGGAGGTTGTTGAACTTCTCTTCGATGGTCAATGTGATACCCGATCTTTTTTTCATTCAATTTAGTCCACGGACTTTTTAAAAATCACCTCAATGTGGTTTTTTCATCAAATGAAGTAGCAACTTGTATTCGACCAAAAAAAAAAAAAAAGCAGCAACTTGTAACGCGAGTCCATATAAGAACTTGTTGGGCCAGTCTTGCTTGGGCCCTGGCCCATCACACATGTGAAATAATTTTCGTCCTTTCTTTTCTCAAACAGGAGTAACTGCATCTCCTACTTTAAAACAGCTTTGGTGATGTGAATTCCTTTTATCGTTTTCTTTTTTCTGTAAAAATTCCTACCATGTTCTGTAATTTTTTTGGCTTTCCACATCACTTCTCTAAAATAGTGAGCAACATTCAGCAACCGAAAATTACGGAAGTTAAAGCAAGTTGTAATAATTGTAAACCAACCTTAGTGTATCTTGTCCCATATCCCTTAGAATTTACGCATTTTAAATGCCATATTGCTCAATTTCCATTTAATGGCACTCATTCGTATAGAATATATATATACCCCAAAAGTCGTACCACTGGATTCTTGCTCCAAATCTCATTTTAGGCCTCGAGCAAGATTATTTGCTTGCAAAATATTTTCTGCAAAATATATCTTCGTAATTATTTAAATAGATTTCGCATTACAATACGGTACACATAAAATTATTAATTATAATAGTGTTAGGACTCTTCACTTAATGAGACTGGTCTCGAATGGAATAATATTACAATAAGCCATCAAAAGGTAAGTGTTACACGCTCATTTTCTTTACAAGACGTCACCTATATCGCTGCGCAATGTTCATGTTAAGAATATGTTCATACAACGAAATTACATAAACTCCAAATTAAATAATACTCCGCGATCTAATGGGTTCACTTATGCCTTTTCTTATTCGCATATCAATAATAAATCTTTGAACGTTGCGATATTCAATTAAATACACCGACTTATATATCGGTTGGCTCTGATTGATCAAATCCGATAAAAAAAATTTCAATGCCAATACACTAATTACGCAACAGAAGGAGAAAGGCAATACTTTTAAAACGACATATTTTTTTGATTCGGATATTTAACAAGTTCTTTCGAAGCACTTGTTAACGATAGAATTATACTATAATTAAAAAAGTATATTATTCGGGTCAAATTGTTTTAATGTTTTTGGACTGAAATGAGCTGACCATCTCCTTTTCGATAGGCCAACAACGAAGAAGAACCCCGAGCGGAATATACGCATATAATAATAACTCCAAAGCTGAGGATTAAATTTTCTTTTGAAAATCAAACCATAAAGCCAAATCGGCCATAAAAAATAAAAAAATAAAAAAAAAATAAAAAATAAAAAAAGCCGAAGCTCTTTGGAGGAACAGGGAGATCTCACGCCAGCCGTCGGATCAATCCTCGATCAAGCCCAGCGCAGATCACGAGGCGGAATCATGCGGTCACGCGTTCCCCCCCCAAAAGGAACCAGACGCACGGAACGTGCGGGCGCACACGATCGGAATCCTCGCATTTATTGCTAAAAAAACCATCCCGAAACTTTATTTATTTATTATGGAAAATCTTACATTTAATTCCTCATTTTTTTAAAGTTCAAATCCGCAGGCCTGTGAGGTGTTGCAGGCCGAAAGCAGGCCTCGGAAAAGCATTTTTTGAATTTAAAAAAAAAAAAATATCCAACTGGAGAGAAAAAATTAAAAATAAAACGAAATCAGATGCTAAAATCCCATTGCATCATTTTTGCTATTCGCAAAGTGGTGCTGCTGCTGCTGTTGTTTGTATAGTAGATGGAGCCAATCTCTGTGCGATTTCCGACGACGGCGATGGATTCCGCATCCGAGGAGGCGCCTCGTTCGGTTCGCCCGTCCGGCTCTCGCCGATCTGTGAGTCCTCCTCCGTTCCCTCGGTCTCTCTTCTTCGTCTTTGTTGCAAGGCGGGATGGTTTCGAGCTCGAGCCCCGAATCCCGTTCTCGTGTTGGGGAAGTGTTCGAGTTCGAGTTTGAGATTTTGCGTTCGAGTTTTTAGGGTTTTTTCGCCGCGGGCTTGGGTTGGTGCAGGAGCTGCGATTGTTAGGGTTTGGTTTGGTTTGGTTTGCGGAGGAGGAGGAGGAGGGGTGGGTGGGTGGGTGGGTGGGTGGATCTCGGTGCGGATGGATTCGAGCCTTGGGGAGTGCTGCTTCTCCGCGGCTGGGCTTCGAATGGTTTTGGAAATGTGGGGGGGAGGAAGTTGAGTAAAGTGGAGTGGGATTGATAAAAGCTATGGAAAGTGGAAAGGAGTGGGCACTTGGTGGCGGGGTTTTTGAGGGGGTCAAAAAGGGGAAATTGCAAAGCAAGTGTTGGCCTTGTGTTTTGATTTTTGAGAGACTTGAGCTGGGTTTTGGCGGCTATTGGCAGTTTCTGGTGATGAATTATTGTCTGTAGCCTGTGGTGTGAGTTTGAATTTCGGTGGTTGCTGTGGCGCGAATCTCATTTTTTTGTTTCTTGGTGGGGCTAGCGAGGATTTTTGTTGCCCTGTTGGTTCTGCTATGCTAATGAAACCGGAAATGAAGTTGTTTGTGTGTGTCTTGTTGAGAACATGAAGGATGAGAATCTGAAGTCAGCTGTATTCTGTTAAATGTTCAGGACTTGTGAGGGGAGCAAGTCAGCATCTTTTGAGCCAAAGACGAACTTCTTGACTTAGTCAAGGTAAGTGCTCTAGCTCAACTTAACGTGTTTTTGTGGTGTTCGATCTGCAGTTTGTTCTCCACAATGTGGAAACTGTCCTTGTGTTTTTGATTATATCGAGAAGTTTGTTATGTGTTTATAACTTGACTTAAATATCTTCCTGACTTTCGGTTGATATTTTCTTTAGGAGGATCTGCCTGTGGGGATAAAGTGCATTAGGATGGCTGATGGCAGCTCGGTTGACGTAATTCTAGATTTTCTCCGAAGAAATAAATTCACCCGAGCAGAGGCGGCTCTGCGTAGTGAGCTCACCAATCGCTCTGATTTGAATGGGTTCCTTCAGAACCTCGCACTCGAGGAGAAGGACACAGGCAAGTTTCCGCGTAGACAAAATGGCGAGAAACCAGCTGTCATGAATCAGGGCCCTAATTCTCGAGACGGCGGTGAAGCTTCTGAAGAACTCATTGTGAAAGAAATAGAGTATGGCACCACCAGAAATGGTCCAGACAGCAGATCTAAGAGTACCTTGGTCGAACATAGCAAACATGTTGAGATGTCGAGTAACACCGACAGGAGCTTTACTTTCCCTAAAGGTTCAGAAAAGAATTCGGGTGATTTGCAGCCATGGAAATTCAATTCTAGCAATGGCCCTTCAGATCTTTATGAAAATGATGTTTGCAGTAGTTCTCAAACCACGTCTGATCTGAAGGTCCCCGAACAGCCGAGATATTGCAATAGCGAGGCTCCTTATTCTGGCAAAGCTACTGTCTTTACTAGAGAAGATGTTAAATTTGCTGGTGAAAAGAATGCATGGGTTGTCAGTTCTAGCAAAAACCATTCTGAACCTCTTGGTGAACCTAGGGAAGTCGGCAAACAAGCAAAAGTTGGCAATGCCTACTCCAAGGACGGTTCCGATGATAATCCATGGTCTAGAAAGGAGGAGCTTGCATCTATATCAGCAGACCCATGGAAAGACTGTTCAATTAAAACAGTTTTTCCGTTCATGAAAGGGGAGACTTCAAACAATTACGACGTTATCATTCCTCATGACAAAAAGGAAGGAAAGAATAAAGCAGAGATGGGGAGTGATGTTCGGGTAGCTATTAAGGAACAGGTAGATGAGGTTGGCAGAGCTTTGTACTTTGGAAAGACACAAGGGGGTTTTGATCAGAAGAATATTAGCAGCTTAGGTTTTCCATTTCCATCTGAGAACCCAAAGGAAGAACTGCCTAGGTTGCCCCCGGTCAAACTCAAGTCAGAGGAAAAGTCCATTTCCAACAATTGGGAAGAGAAGTATGATCGCGATGGAATGGGCGCGAAGCTTGCGAGCATTGACACTGCGTTCCTCATAGGGTCATATCTTGATGTTCCAGTAGGACAAGAAATTAATTCTTCAGGTAACCGTGATTGACAAATTTCCATGTGGTCAACCATTTTGCATAGAATGCTCATTTTACAAAGTCAAGATGGGGTCCTTTTCTCAGGGCTTTTGATTTTGCCATTGGTTGCCAATATTGCATTTTCTTGCATCCAACTATAAGCTTTGCTGTTGTAGGCAGTAGTATAGGACGTGCTTGCATCTGTAAATGGCCTCTCTTTACTGCTCTCCTTGTATTTTCCTACCAGGGTTTTGTCTTCTCTTCTGGAGATCTGCATTTCAGTTACAACTGTAAAATACGTTAATGCTTTGTAACTGATGATTTAGGTGGGAAAAGGCTTGGTGGTGGCAATTGGCTATCTGTAAGTCATGGCATCGCAGAGGATACATCCGATCTGGTTTCAGGTTTTGCAACTATTGGAGATGGGTTGAGTGAGTCTATTGACTATCCCAACGAGTATTGGGATTCTGACGAGTATGACGACGACGACGATGTTGGATATATGAGGCAGCCTATTGAGGATGAGGCCTGGTTTCTGGCCCATGAAATAGACTATCCTAGTGATAATGAGAAGGGAACTGGCCATGGGAGTGTTCCTGACCCACAGGAAGGAGGTCAAATTAAAGATGAGGACGATGACCAATCTTTTGCCGAGGAGGATTCTTACTTCTCCGGGGAGCGATTTCTTCAATCAAAAAACGTGGAACCAGTTAGTGCTTCAGATGATCCGTTGGGGCTGTCAGTGAGAGAAGTTTATGGCCGGGTGGAGGAGAATGATTTAATCGCACAATATGATGGACAGCTGATGGATGAGGAAGAACTGAATTTCATGCGTGTGGAACCTGTGTGGCAAGGTTTTGTCGCACAAACAGATGAACTCATCATGTTAGGGGATGAGAAGGTTCTGAATGATTGTGGAAGGCCGCAACTGGATAATATATGTCTTGATGATGATCAACACGGTTCTGTAAGATCAATTGGTGTGGGCATCAACAGCGATGCTGCTGATTTCGGTAGTGAAGTTCGGGAAAGTTTAGTCGGGGGCAGCAGTGAAGGAGATTTAGAGTACCTCCCTGATCATGATGTTGGATCTGCGTCCCTACACTATAAAAATGAAGCAGATAAAAATTACCGTAATAGGTTGAACAGGGAACAAAGGAGAAAGTATAAGCTTGACCCCAACCAATATATTATTGGGAATGACAAAAGCATACAAACAGAAGTGAAGGGTCAATTAGATGCGGGGTTTTCGTTTCCTCCTCCATTGAGGGATGAGCAGTTGCTTCATGCAGGCTCTAGCAAATCCTTATGGTCAGAGAACTCCAATGCTGTTGGGAATGATGTAGCCGAGCAGAGATTGAATGCTTCTGTGGGAGCTGATGACATGCTAGCCACATGGAAAAGGAAAGGCAGCGACTCTTCCACTGTTAAAAGTTCAAGAGATGAAGATAATGCGAATGCTATAAGATCAGCGAATTCTTCTCCATCCTCGCTATCAAATTATGGTTATGCTGAAAGAGACTGCATCAAGAAAGAAGAGGATGAAAAACCAGGTGCGAGAGAGGATGACCCAGTGGCATCCCTGGAGGATGAGGAAGCCGCTGCGGTGCAGGAGCAAGTAAGGCAAATCAAGGCTCAGGAAGAGGAATTTGAGACTTTTAATCTCAAAATTGTCCACAGGAAAAACAGGCACGTGTTACTTTTACCTGCTATTTCTTTTACCTTTCTTCATTAAAAGTATTTATATGACTTTAAGTCGATGTTAGAGCTTGAAGCCTAAAGTTTTGTCAGTTCTATAGCTATCTCACATATTATTGTTAAACTCGCTGTCAATTGACTTCTGAATGGACGTCCTCTCTGATGTTCAGAACCGGCTTTGAGGAGGACAAGAACTTTCATGTTGTTCTAAATTCAGTCATTGCTGGGCGGTATCATGTCACTGAATATCTTGGCTCTGCTGCATTTAGTAAGGCCATACAAGCTCACGATCTGCATACAGGCATGGATGTATGTGTTAAAATTATAAAAAACAACAAAGACTTCTTTGATCAGAGCCTGGATGAGATAAAGCTTCTCAAGTATGTCAACAAGCATGATCCTGGCGACAAGTACCACATTCTCCGTTTGTATGATTATTTTTATTACCGAGTAAGTGGAATTTTCTGCTTAGCTTTATGTTACGTCCTTGTGGAAAGAGAGATTTTTTCTTTTCAGAAATTGTGCTTGGCTACTTTGTTGGTGCTAGTGGCAATTTTCTTCTCAAGTGATTCTGTTTAATACATTATTCTCTACCAAGTCGAATTGGTTTGTAGGTTTAGGTTTAGTGTCAAACGTTCTTGGAGAGTGACAGTGTGACACCTTTATAATTGTATTTAAGAGAAAAAGGTTATTAGGTTACGGGGGTGGGGAGAGAACCGGGAGGGGGGGGGGTTGGTTCTAGTGTACATGCTTTGGAACTAAAATGGCTCTGATCTTGGTCAAGCACATATGAGATTATTGTTTTAAGCTGTCGACTATTAGATATTGCACCAAGACTGGCGTAGTTGAATGATATAGTGGGATTGTTGTTCACTTGGAACTATCAGCCTTGATGTTTTTGTCATTCATGATTTGTCTGTTGAGTTGCTATTATTTTCTGCATGGTAACTTGGGGCTGTAGCTGCCTGATACAGTATCTGTCTTGTAGAAGTAAGACAAGTTTGGTAGCAATATTCTAGTCCTAGGATGAAGATGTTTGTTTCTCAATGAACCTCAATTTGAGGATGTGTTTCTACTGTGATCGTATCTCTCATGATGCATTTGAGGGTATGTGGGAACAATATGCTAGTGGCTGAATATTGTTCCGTCTTTATGGTAATTCAATTAGGGGATTATTAGTGGCTAGAAGAAGAAGAAGAAGAAAGTCAATTATCGATTGGAGCATTTACTGAATTTTTTTTCTGGTTTAAAGTTACTGAAATTTTAAGCGGCCTATTTTTCCGTGTAATTAATAAGTTGCTGCACAAGATCCATGTTTCCTAGAGCTATTGCTTTGCTTGTAATAATTAGTTCCTCATGCTATTTACCAGCTTACTTAGTGCTCGAAGGTCACGGTCCAGCTGCAGTTGGTTGTACTTGCATCATGCATTCTTGTTAGAACATTTCACTACAGGCACTTCAATGCTATTTAAGCACCAGGCAGCTTATTCCTTGTTGGTGTTCTTACCTAAGGGTAACTAGGCATATTTTGCTGTGCAAGATTTTGGTGGTTATGGTAGATCTTAGCAAAGATTTGCTGCATTGCCTTGGTCATATTTGACCTGCTTGCTATTAAATCGAAGGCTCCTTAATGTCATAAGCTTGCTTGCTTTGCAGGAGCATCTGTTGATAGTATGTGAACTACTTAAAGCAAACTTATATGAGTTTCACAAATTCAATAGAGAGTCTGGAGGGGAAGTTTACTTCACTATGCCTAGATTGCAGGTTTGGCAGTTTGCTATTTCTTCCTGAAGCATGTTTTGTTTCAATTGTGGACACCTAATGCTGTGTTGTAATGATCTGTCCAGTCAATAACTATTCAGTGTTTGGAAGCACTTCAATTCTTGCATGGCCTCGGCCTCATCCACTGTGATCTCAAGCCTGAGAATATATTGGTAAAAAGCTACAGTAGATGTGAAGTGAAGGTCATTGATCTCGGGAGTAGTTGTTTTGAAACAGATCACTTATGCTCCTATGTTCAGTCCCGATCTTATCGGGCTCCAGAAGTTATTCTGGGTCTGCCATATGATAAGAAGATCGACGTATGGTCACTTGGCTGCATATTGGCAGAACTTTGCACTGGAAATGTAAGTTCTATTCTTCAACCAATATTTACTTTCCTAACAGCCCATTGATGCGTGGAACTATTGGAGATTTATGGAGGTCTTTTTTAAACTGCTGTCTGTTGAATTCATGTTATCAAATGTGATGTGAATGGCGATCTCGTATACCTTCTTTCATGAACTTCTAAGCACGATGAGTGTGAAAATGTGCGACCAATGGCGACCTTACTGCTGTTTCATCAAAGCATCTCTGTGGATATTGGGTTGTTTATTGTATATTGAGTTGAAATATCTTCCTAAAGTTGTGAATCTTGACTTAGAGAGTTAACATCCTTTTCTACATTTACAAATTGCAAAAAAAAAAATAGTGCATTTCTTTCAAGCCTGAAAGCACACCAGCTGTCCACAACTCTAGCTCCACTGTGTTGCTGCATTAGGACACAGGTGTTGGTAAACGGTCTCGCCATGTGTGATTTGCTAGAAGTGTGCAAGGCTGTGAGATTTATATAAAGAAGGTGCAATTTGAATGATTGATCCTTCCACAAGATTTCGATTAAACATTTATAAAACTGGCGAATTCTAGAGAAATGGATGGTCTATTAGGGAATGCAGCAATGGACTGTTTTCAGAGGTGACTTGAGAGCCTGAAAGAAAACCAGCATTTTTTAGGGCAATACTTGATGTTTGCTGAGAGCTTTAGATGTTTCTAGCCTACTGCCATGGAATGTGATCAAACAGTTTCTTTTTATGAAAGTGCATTGAAGAATGTCTTCTGATGTGATGTCAACTCGGTTAAATCAGTTTAGTGCTTGCTCATGAATTTTCTCTCTACTGGCTTCTCTCTAAAAATTTGGGTTCTTGATATTGTTGCATTATTTTATGGTTTGCATGGCAAATGATAGCTCTATATTATTTGTGATTTAGTTCTTTTTTTATGTGAGTTGACTGGTGGGATTGCTGGAATTTTAATATCTCTCATTGAAACTTGCCCTTTGGTGGTTTCTTCTATTAAACAAACTTATTGATAACTTGGAAACATTTTATGTGTTGCATTTCTCTTTTTGTATTTTTCCAGTAATGGTGTGGGATTGAATTTTCGAACTATAAAGTTTGTAATTGTCTGAGTCTCTTATTGGTTGTGACACTAATTAGAACGTGTCTTTCAGGTTGATTTCGATGCGATTCTTTCTCATCATTATTGTGAATTATCATTGGTGTAGGTGTATGCACCTTTATTATGACTCTGGTGCAGATTGATTTGAATTAATTTGGCATTTTGATTAGGTTCTCTTCCAAAATGATTCACCCGCAACACTGCTTGCACGTGTCATCGGAATTATTGGCCCCATCGATCAAGACATGCTAGCAAAAGGCAGAGACACATACAAATACTTTACAAAAAATCATATGCTGTATGAGCGGAATCAGGTAATAAATTTTGTTATGTTGAAGGCTCAATGCTTCTAGCTTCCTGCATAAGGTTCTCTTGGTTTTATGGAGAATGGAAGGAAACTATACTTGGAATATGTATTTGGCAGCGGCGTTATCAGCTCAGTGTCAGTATGTCTACCTGTGGTGTTTGCCAATTTCCCTTCTTTTTGTGAGGGTGGTTGCATCTTGCATAGATGAAACGATAGATTGCACTTTGATTTTGTCAGGGATAGCATCTATGTACATTGCTTTGCTGCTTGCAAAGTTCGTTTCTCTGGGATTCCAGATACATTTTCCCTCGTCACATGATTACTAATTCGCGCTGTCTTGAGTCATGGTCCTTTTTTCTTGAAAGATCTTCTTCACGGTATTCACCTTCCATTGCTGGTTCGGTTTCTTGCTCGTCATGCTGTTATAGGTTTGCAGCCTGTAACATTTATATGGCGTGATAGGGTCCTACTAATGTCAGTTCTCTATTCTGTGATTTCCTGTTGTATGCCTGTTGAAAATAGGATGGTGCTTGCGAAGGCAAGCACGGCGATCGATGTCTTTGTTTCCTTATCTTGTAAGCATACGTATCATATAAGATGAATTTGATGCATTCTGCACTTTGATTCTCAGGATACCAACAGACTGGAATATCTGATACCAAAGAAGACCTCTTTAAGGCACCGATTACCTATGGGGGACCAAGGATTTACTGACTTTGTTGCGCATCTACTTGAGGTAAATCCAAAGAAACGCCCTACCGCTGCTGACGCTTTGAAGCACCCGTGGCTGTCATATCCATATGAACCGATATCCTCTTGAGCAATTTGAATTCTCACTGTCGAGATTACTAGAGCTTTCGTGGAAACATTTCCGAAGTTTCTCATGATAAGAAGGAAGTGGCAAGATTGAGGATCTCGCCATCTGAGGGGGTTTCCCAAGAGGTTGAAGCCCTTCTCGAATGCTGTCCATCAGCCGTGCCTGATTTTGTTCAAGTTCTCTTCCCAAGCAAGCTATATCGAAGATTTTTGAAGCGAAAGTGTAATTCCGCACGAAATGTATTATTAGGTTCTTTTTCTGGCCACTTTCTTTTTTTTTTTCAGACTGGTGGGAAGAGGAACCGTGAATCTGTTGTACATGATGTGTGATAATTCTTTTCAAGTTATGTAGTAGTAGCTTGTGAAATATTTGTTAGTCAATTTTGGTTGGTTTAATGGTTTATTTGGGTGGTAACCACTGTCCAATTCGGGATCCCGGCTAATAGCTCTTTCAGATATGCGTATATAACTTCCTAGGTAAGGTGATAGTAGCTCGCATGTGTTTTCTGCTCTTTCGACATTTCCATGTGCTGGTGTTTTTCGTCGAAAGCTTGGTTTTCAAGGCCGAAGCACTGCAACATCCGCTGTTGAACTCTTTCTAGTGGTTATGTTTTATTTGTGGGTTGGACTGGGTGTTCCCTGTACGGCGATTTTCCGAAGATCTATCGCGAGACAGACGCTTGTGATCATACGATCGCTGACATTTGGGTTCTCCGTCTGACCAATGCGAATGGAAATGAACTAAGCTAGCCGCGGATGAAACAAATTGATCATAGAAGGCATCAGAGCGATCAATTTCATGGACTTTTCTCAAAGTCGTGCATCGTCTACGGTTTTTCTCCATAAGCAGCAATATATGATGTACGTCGGATATCATGAGAATAAGAGAAACAAAATGGGGGGACCAAACAAAGCGTCACTGAAAGAGGTCAATTTACCCATTCATTCCTCTGTATGCAGTTCAAGCTTTATTGAAGCCAGTCCCACGATTCAAACTGATTCAAAGACGTTCACAACTAAAGAAAACGAAAAGAGACGAAAAAGCCGAAAACACTCTGAACGACTCAACAGCAACGGGAACAGGGAAGTAGAAATGACCTGAAGGTGGCAAGACCAAGCGTCACAGACCATGGAAACTTGGTGGAGGGATCACATCGCAGCCTTCGTGCTCCTCAAGAACAGCGCACGAGTCCGTCATACTCTGGTTAGGGGTGGCGACGTTCTCCTCGATGTGATTTTGACCGTTGATCAGTCCATCGAGGGACGCAGGGTGGAGGTGAGGGAACGGCAGGAACAAGGAATGCACCACGACCTTCTGATTCTTCATCACGTCGGGGCTCTTCATCCTCACGTAGTTGATCCTCAGCGTCGCGGGTCCGCCTGCCGTCGTCACCGCCAGATACTGCCCCCTCTCCAGCGACGGCAGCACCGTCCCCGCAGGGAGCCTCTGGAGGTCGGCCATCGCGAGGTACTGGTTGGGCACGATGTGGAAACGCACGTTGCTGACGTAGCTGACCGCGCCGAAGAAAATCGATAAGTCGTCGACGGTGAAGATGGTGGCGTTCTGGAGATTCACCAGCTCGGGGTACTTGATCTTGATCGCGAGCGCCAGGATGCCGAATCCGCTGGTCCGGAGCCGCAGCACCGCGTCGCGCAGCATCAGGCGCATGAGCGGCGAAGGAGAGGAGGATACCGGCGGCTGGAGCGGGAACGCCAGGGGCGTCAGCTTCTCGACGCTGCAGGAGAAAGGAGACAGCGGCGCGACGAAGCCTTCGAGGCCGTGGACGACGACGATCCCGTTGTTGAACATGTCGGGGCGAGAGATCTCGACGCCGTTGACGAAGATCCTGGTGGTGTTGGTCGGGCGGTGAGTGCCCGAGGTGACGGTGAGGCAGCGGCCGGAGCTCATCGTCTCGACCTTGGTGCCGAAGGCGAGCTTCTGGAGGTAGCTGAAGCTGAAGAGGCCCGGGACGATGTGTTCGCTGAGGATGCGGGGGATGGAGCAGGTGGCGCAGGACTCGATGGAGGAATCGGAGGGAGCGAAGAGGGTGGAAGGCCCGTTCCACGCCGCGAACGACGGCGAGTCGGTGAGCGAGGGGACCGCCATGGCGAGGTCGTGGAAGCCGAGGTGGGAGAGGACGGGCTCGAAGAGCGAGGTCGGCGAGAGCGAGTCGCCTATCGGCTCTTGCGGCGGCGACGGCGGCGGCGGCAAAGAAGCGAAGGGAGCTTCGTCCAGGGCGGTTGTGGTCGCGGAGGCGGAGAAGAAGATGGCTACGATGAGGATCGAGAGCCGCAGTGGCTCGATCGCCATAGCTGAGGAACCGAGAGAGAACTAGAGAGAGAGAGAGTGAGAGAGCTAGAGAGAGAGAAGTGACTGATTTTGAGTGTGAGCAGGAGAAGTTATGATGGAGTAGTACTTCCGAGACGATGAAGAAGAGACGGTTAGCGACTTCGGCGAGTTGGTTAGCGCGAGTGGCAAGCGAGTGTGGGAGTGCGCGTGGGACTCTCTGTACCGTCTTCAATTGGCGGGAAACTGGCACTCTTAGTGCTAATTTAGCCAAACGACGCCGTTTTCATTCGCTTAGTCTTCTCTCGCGCGTGAGGAATAAGTTAAGAATAACCGCCTGGGTGGGTGCCAAAAGAGTTCCGTTTATCTCGTAGGCTCCAACGCTTTACCAAAACTCGGAGCATTTCTTCTCTTCAACTGCCCCCCGCCAGCTCACGCACATCGGAATATGGCCCTCCGCTCTCTGCAACTCGCGTCCCTCACACTCGCCGTCATCTTCTCCGCCTCCGCAACCGCCGGCGGCGTCGCCCTTCTCTCCTTCCCCTCCGCCTCTCCTCCTCCGCCGCCGCCGTCGCTCTCGGACTTCGGCTACCCCCAGTTCCGCGATTTGCCCCTCTCCTCCTCCGCCTCCCTCCTCCAGCAAATCCTCGCCCACCTCGGCTTCCAGGAGCTCTCCATCTCCGTCGGCGCCGCCCTCTCCGAGTACCCCGCCCTCTCCCGCTGGAACGGCCCCGTCACCATCTTCGCCCCCTCCGACGCCTCCGTCGAGCCCTGCGCCGCCTGTCCCCTCCCCCGCCTCCTCGCCGAGCACGTCGTCCCGGGCTTCTTCTCCTCCTCCGCCCTCCAGGGCCTCGCCTTTGGCACCAAGATCGAGACCATGAACCCCCGCCGCTGCGTCGCCGTGACCTCCGCCTCCGATAGTTTCGCCAACGCCACGAGGATGTTCATCGACGGCGCCGAGATCACGCGGCCCGACCTGTTCGACAACGGCATCATGATCGTCCACGGCCTGGACGGCCCCGTCTCCCCCCTCTCGCCGTCCTCCTGCACCGACGCCTCTCCGCGGCCGTCGTTCGAGGCGGCGCCTACTTCCCTCGCCGGACCGCCCCCGCTGATCATGAGCCTGATGCTCCGGGACGCCATGCTCCGGCTGCGGAGCGGCGGGTACGGCGTCCTGGCGCTCGCGATGAAGGCGAAGTTCGCCGAGCTGGTCGCCCTCGAGAACGCGACGATCTTCGCGGTGGAGGACGACTTCATCTTCTCCGACCCGCGCAACTACGCGGGCGACGTGAGCTTCCACATCGTGCCGGACCGGTACCTCGCGGGGGACGACCTCCAGAACCTCCCGGTGGGGTCCACGCTGGGCACGATGGAGGAAGGGCAGGATCTGGTGGTGACGAGCGCGGGTGGGCCCGCGGGAGGGACGGTCCAGATCAACCGCGCGCGCGTCAAGATCCCGGAGGTGATCAGGAACGCGAGGGTCGTCGTGCACAGCTTGTTCCTGCCGTTCTCGCACCTCCAGATCGGGCCCCTCTCCCCCGCCCCCGCGCCCGGCGCACTGATCGACGGCGGCGGGGGCGAGGATCGGACGGCCGGGGACGCGTCGGAGTCTTTGGAAGAGCTCGGCGGGTGCGGGCTCGGGCCCACCCAGATCGAAGATGGCCACGGCCCATGACGATGGGGGCGCTGACGGAGACTCAAGTCCACGAATTCTTTTGTTCTCGGGTCTTTTGTAAATCCTGACCAAAACAGAAACATTTTTGCTTTTCGTTAATTCGATTCTTCGCGGTATGGTCAGTTGGGTAGGCGCTTTTATGTTCAGGCGACTTTTTGCTCGCGTCGGCTTTCGTCGAGATTGATTTGGTTAGGCGAGTCTTCTTGGAGTAACTCTTACGATATCGAGACTCTACCAAATGCATCGTTGACTTGGAACTCGAGGGGGAATGATGATTAGGCCGTGGATTAAGGTCCAAACCTCGTCGTGGCGGGGAATTAGGAAACAGGGCCGGCGATGTGGGGAATCACTTAGTCAGATCCCACGGGCGGTATTCCCAAGGCGTTGACCGCCTGATCTCGCAATTAGGCGGGTAATTAATGGTGTCGAGTAGTTTAGTAAGTAGAGAGGGGAACGCCTTAGAGACGGGTTTTGCTTTCAATTCGGTTGACGTGCGTCCTAAGTACCCAACCCCCGGACCATCGCCTATATCTTTTGAATTTTTCCGGCCAACCGTGACCACCGGAACCAGCATTTCAGAATAAAATTGGAAGGATTAGGGAAAATTAAGTTAACCAGCTAATTACGTCTTCACCTTCGGGTTTATTTTTATTTAAAAAAAAAAAGAATTCGTCTCTTTAATCAACTCGTTTTATTCGCTAATCGTAATTACGCGATATATGGCCAATTTCACTTGGGCTTTAAAAAAACAAAAGAGGACTTAACAATTCGCCCACATGTCTCGTAATGCGAAACGCGACGGCCCGCGGGACATGACATGCGCCCTTCCACCAAAGAGGTGGCATGGAAAACGTCGGTGGCACGTCAGAAACAGGGAAAAGTAAAAATAAATAAAAAAAGGAAGAAGGAAACGCCTCTGGGGGGAAAGCCTGCAGATGAAGCATCGCTCCTCCCGACGGGCACCCCATCTCTCTCAAATCTGACCATTCAATGAAACCCCCTCATTACTACGCCATTATTTTCTCCTTTAAACATTTACTCAATTAATTAATTAATTAATTGACTGATTGTTTTTATTTTTATTTTTTAAGTTTCTCGTAACTCACCAAACAGCCAAGCTCTCTTCCCAAATCCGACGTCCGTCCCCATTGCCATTTTCTCCCCACGGATAAAAGCAGCACCGAGAGCCAGAGAAGCCGCTCGAGATCTCTTTCTCTCGCTCTCTCTCTCAGTGTGTCTCTCTGATAAGTTGTCTGCGAGAAGGGGAGAGGCAATGGGGAAGCCAATGGCGGTGCTGGCCGTCGCCGTCGTGATTGCCTCGCTATGTTCTCCGGCGAGATCGGACGGTTCCGATCACCGGTACAAGGAGGGGGACCCGGTCCCTCTCTACGCCAACAAGGTCGGGCCGTTTCACAATCCCAGGTAAATAAACTCGATTCGGGACTCGCTCCTCGTCCGAATCTCTGGTTGGTTTCGTGGCTCGGTCGAGACGTGTGGTGTTGAAGGCGGTGTTTGTTGGATCTGAGGTGGGTGCGTTCTGATTTGGTTTTTTTTTGGGTTTTGGGCCGGAGTTGGATCCGGGCGAGTGGGATTCGGCTCGGAGTGTGTTTCGGTGGCGGAATTTGAGGAGTGTCGATACGTGCCGGAAGTGTGAGATTTTGGAAATTCGGTGGGCTTGCTGGTGATTTTAGGAAAATGGCAATGGAGATGCTATTTGAGCTCGAAAGTTTGAATTTTGGTTTCCGCGATGGCTCGTGAGAAATTAGAGAGTGGTTTTTGCGCAGTTCGCGTGCAGTTGGTACTTCTTCGTGCCATAGTGGCGAAGTGGTTGGCATCACTGGAGTCACCGGCTCTTTTGATCTGAGTGGTGGTGTCTTGTTTGCATCATTTGATCAGTGGAATGGGGTGATTCTTGGAAATGTTTTAGTTAAGTTGCTTTCAGTTGTTTATCCGATTTTAGAGCTGGATCTAGCAGCATGGGTATGTTATTTTAAGCCTTCGCCATCTCCTGGCTCTTTTCAGTGCTCTGTAGGTTCTCACCTACATTAGGCAACAGCTAGATCAGCTACGAGAATCTTATTAATTCTCGTTCTTTGTTGTGCATCGAGTTTTTTTTTGAGATTCAAATCTCCTTTTCTCGGGTCAGCGAATTTCCGTATCCAGCTGTGTACGCATTTCTTATTTCTAGTTCTCGTCTGAAGGCAGTGTAATTGAGTTTGAAGAATTTTCTTGATGTCGTATGAGCTAATGCCAGCCTATCCTTTTCATGCAGTGAAACATACCGCTATTTCGATCTTCCATTCTGCATTCCGGGTTTGTGATTGTTCTTTTGGGTAATTTCTATTCGTCTTAAAAAGTTTTATGATGTGATTTGTGATTTGATTTGCGAGGTTGACTTGTATTGCAGATAATTTGAAAGAGAAAAAGGAGGCCCTCGGTGAAGTACTAAATGGGGATCGCCTTGTCAGTGCACCCTACCAGCTAGACTTCATGAAGGATAAGGAGTCTGAGGTCGTTTGCAAGAAAAAACTCTTGAAAGAAGATGTAGCACAATTCAGATCTGCAGTCGTTAAGGACTATTACTTTCAGATGTATTATGATGACTTGCCTATCTGGGGTTTCATAGGGAAAGTTGACAAGGAAGGCAAAGATCCCAGCGAGTACAAGTACTTCCTTTATAAGCATATCCATTTTGACATCTTTTATAACAAGGACCGTGTTATTGAGATCAATGTCCGAACAGACCCTAATGCCCTTGTAGACCTTACAGAGGATAAAGAAACTCATGTTGAATTCATGTATACGGTTAAGTGGAAAGAGACCAATACTCCTTATGAGAAGAGAATGGACAAGTACTCGCAGTCATCTTCTCTACCTCATCATCTAGAGATACACTGGTTTTCAATTATAAATTCATGCGTGACCGTGCTTCTGTTGACTGGATTTCTTGCCACAATCCTCATGCGAGTTCTCAAGAATGATTTCGTCAAGTAAGAATCTCTTTTCACGTGTTTCTCCATTGCTTGGTTGCATTTTTTTTTTTTTTTGCTTTCTATGCACATATTCATATGGAGTCTATGAAATTTACCCCTGGATTTGTTTTTGTTTCATATAAAATAGATATGCCCATGACGAAGAATCAGCTGAAGATGCTGAGGAGACTGGATGGAAATACATACATGGCGATGTATTCAGGTACCCGAGATTCAAGTCTCTGTTTTCAGCTGCACTTGGTTCTGGTACCCAGCTGTTTACTCTGTAAGTAACTTGATTCTCCAGATGCAGTTTATGTTTCATAGATGACTATGCACATTAGGAAGTTACGTATGTTTCAACTAGCGCACTGCTTTATTGTTATTTCTTTGCATTTGGCAGCACGGTGTTCATCTTTGTACTGGCATTGGTTGGTGTATTTTATCCTTACAACCGAGGGGCTCTGTTTACTGCACTGGTTGTCATTTATGCACTGACATCTGGAATTGCTGGCTACACTGCTACCTCATTTTATTGTCAGCTGGAAGGAACTAACTGGGTATGTCGTAGCGAATTCCCCCTAGAGTCATTGCCCAACGTCTCATTTTTCTACTAGTGACTTCAGCCTTCTTGTGTAACAGGTTAGGAACCTATTGTTGACCGGATGCCTTTTCTGTGGGCCTCTCTTCCTCACGTTCTGCTTCTTAAACACCGTTGCCATTGCTTATACGGCTACGGCTGCTCTTCCATTTGGCACAATTGTGGTGATAGTCCTCATATGGACACTTGTGACATCGCCTTTGCTGGTATTAGGTGGGATCGCTGGGAAGAACAGCAAAGCTGAGTTCCAGGCTCCTTGTCGCACCACCAAATATCCCAGAGAGATTCCACCTTTGCCATGGTATAGGGGGGCAATCCCTCAGATGGCAATGGCAGGATTCTTACCATTCAGTGCCATATATATCGAACTTTATTATATCTTTGCCAGCGTATGGGGTCATAGGATCTACACCATATACAGCATCTTGTTCATCGTCTTTATTATTCTCTTGATTGTTACTGCTTTCATCACTGTGGCATTGACGTACTTCCAACTAGCGGCTGAAGACCATGAATGGTGGTGGAGGTATGCAAAAGTTTACTTGCACAGATTTTATATGCTGGTTACTCCGTGGTTTTCTTCTTTTCCGTTCTTTATCTCTTTAAAAGTTGGGCGAAGTTTGTTCCAAAGTTTTTGCACTCCTTACTTTCTAGATAAAAAAAAAAATTTCTTCCTTTTCTATTTCAAGCGGAACAAATTGAAACTGCATTTGGCGAAGGATTTCCGTGAGGAGGTGTTCCATCAATCACACAGTTGTGCTCATTTGTTGTCAAGATACGAGGATGCATGTTAGGAGTATTTCCCATATTAAATTGGCTGCTGTTAACTTAATGAACGAGGGGCAATTGTCACTTTCTTGCCAGACTTTGTCTGAGTCACCACCACTTAGGTGAAAGACGCTTGCATGCAAACAATTTGAGAGTGTTATTTCTGGGTTGAAGGGATGTCTTTTGAGTTAACTTTCATATTCGGGGCAATGGGCAACCCTTAGCAGACTGTACTTTCTACTGCAAAAGGTGCAATTCCTGTTTGCCTTCTACTTATCAACTCCGTTGGTCTTTGTAAACAGATCTTTTCTCTGCGGTGGATCGACTGGCTTATTTATCTATGCCTATTGCCTCTACTACTATTACGCCAGATCCGACATGTCCGGCTTCATGCAAACCTCGTTCTTCTTTGGCTACATGGCGTGCATCTGCTACGGATTCTTCCTTATGCTGGGAACAGTAGGTTTCCGTGCGGCTTTGCTTTTCGTGCGACACATATACCGCTCCATCAAGTGCGAGTAGGCAGCCGCCCCATCACTGGATCATCGAGGACGCGATCGATCCCTTCTCCATGTGTAGGTGCAACGTAGAGAGAATTTTCTACCGTAATTTTGTAGCGCCTGTCTGTCTCAAAAGTCAAAGCAACCGGCAGGCTTTTCCTTCCCTTTTTTCTAAATTTTGCATCAAAGAGAATGTGTTCCCTAGAATACTATGTTGCTCACTGCTCTCACAAAAGGAGTCTGTATAATTTCTTTCACTTGCAAAACTATTCGATACACAATTTTTTCTTATCTCCTCTCTCCTATGCTGGACTTTGTTTCGTTTTGATTGTTCTTGATCCACCCAATTCTTACTCGATACGAATTGCAATGAGTCTTAATTTTGTACGCTACTTGCTCTATGTACCCATTGACACTGCCTCCGTATCTCCAAACAAAAGGTGTAGCTCCGAACAAAAGGTGGGACGGAATCTATTATATCCCATCTAGATTTTGGTGACCCATTTCGGATCAGATAATATAGCCGGAATCGATTAAATAAATTCAACTTAGTTTAGTTTTTGGATGAAATGGAGAAAGTACTCAAACGAAATCTTGCAAAGGGGGGACAATTTGTGTAAATGTTAATTGCTATTTATGCAAATTATACGACTGAAGTTCCATCATCTTGGGCTTGGGCACCATGCAAAAATACCCGTACCATATAAACCTGTGGGACCCATTCCTCTCCTTCCTCAGATTGTTGCGACTGCTGACGTCATCCACAAGACGCCATTTCTGGAACCCAACTTTTTGGTCGCCGGAAGAACGAGTGGCTCAGGACTGAAGTGCTCCAATCGCGCTCGAATTCGAGCTCGACTCGGCATCCATGGCCGCCGCCTCCGCTTCCGCTTCCGCTGCCGCTCTCGCTCTCGCTCCGGCGGCCATTCACTTCCCTTCCGCGGTCGCCGCGAGGACCGCCAAGCCCGCACTCTCCGTAAGTTCTCGCCGTTCCAAAGATTTCCAGAGTCTCGGAACAGCGATTTCGCCTCCACGCCGTGTTCATGAAGTAGTCGAAATCGAAGCGCCGCGCATCGCTGTCGGTTCGGTGCGATCGACGTAGAATCCGGAATGCCGGCCGCGAGCTGAGTTGAGCTGATTGGGGGGTTTTTTCGCAGGTTCTAGTATTGCCTGCTCGCCGGGTCGGTGCCGGTGTAGGGGTTTCGTGCGCTGCTCGCGTGGCTATTTCGAGCGACGGGCGGAGTGCGGGTATTTGTTTCGGTTTATTTTGCCTTTTTTTTTTTTGTTCGTGAATTCGGGTTTTTGATTGGTGAAATGAGGATTTGAATGGTTTGTTCTTCGTAGGCGGGTTTGATCCGGAGTTGCGATCGGTGCTTGAACTGGCCACGGACTCCGAGCTGTATGAGCTCGAGAGAATCCTTTTCGGCCCGAGGTAATTCGGCTTTCATTCCGACCAAATATTTGGAAAGCATGGGGGTTTGGGGTGGGGGGATATTGATATGGTCCTGCACTAACAAGGCATCCCTGCAAAATTGGGAGGGAGAGCATTTAAACTCGTGTATTAGTTTATATGCCAGTCCTGCAAGATAAAAACTTTGTGGTATTCCCTTTGTTTGCTCGTGTTGGAGCTGAGTTAAAGATTATGGGAGCGAGCACAAGTGCACGCAAGTAGCTGTAGCGATAGATGTTCCATCTTTTCTAGCTGTGAGATGTTTGATGCATTCGTTGATTGGTTTTCAGCTACTTCAGTCCATTGTTGAAATCGATAACGAATAGGGCAGATGTGGACTATGCGATGATTGGAGAAGATCTTGAAGAGAGGGAGGATTTTCTGGCAGCTCTCGAGTCACGTTTCCTGTATCTTGCAGCGGATGCTCGTTCTGTGTTAAGGTAACTTATTATGATTGCGTATGATTTTGTTCTTGATATTTAGACTGAAATTTGAGGGGAAGTTATGCTGTTTAAATACTGTTCTTGTTTAGGTAAATTTGTATGGTAAGTTTATATATTGATGACATTGAAAAATGTATAAATGATATAATTTCACGTTGAGAGATATTTTTTTTGCTTGTAATATGTAAAACTTGTCTTTCTTGTTTTAACGTTGTCAATGAAAGATAAGTGTAGCTTACCCAGTGCCCTAATGGCAGGTTGGGGGTAGCTTCAAGTCTCAAGTTAATTCATGTTTTTAAAATCTTCGTTATTAGAACAATTTGAAGAAAGAAATTGGTTTCACAATATGGCTGATCTCTGATTGTCTTTATGTCCTTCCCAGAGGTTGGAGGCCCTCGTACAGGAGTGTCTTGCTTTCTGTGAGGAAAAAGTTGAACATTCCTTGCTCAACTAAACTTTCAACCGAGGACCTGGAAGCTGAAATCTTTCTACATCTGTTGCAAGAATACTTGATGTATTCTTTCTATCTATCTAAATCTGTGGTGTAAATTTCTCGCAATACAATATTCAATGAGAAGATTGTTCTCGGTAGGTAAATCACTTATGAGATAGGGAGATTAATGGCATGTCCATTACATGGATTGTAACATCTTATCTTGTGTTGCGACTGTTTATTTGAGTAGCTATAGTGAAACAAAAAAAGGATGTCATCAGCTCTAATTCTGTTTTATTGAAGAAAAATCATAGTTAGATGATAGGCGGTTTTTGTGCTTTGTGCCTTCAGAGATTGAAACTGTACATACCGACTAATGGAAGAGGACTAATTCTTTTTTGCACTAAAAATAATGCAGGCGCAGTACTTGGTTTTGATGAAAACTGCAGGCTCATAGTATGGGAAACTCTGATGGCTCATTCCTCTTACTTTCTGCTAGGATTGGAGCAAAAAACTGTGCAATTTATATCTCTCTTCCATATATTTTTTGTGGTTTACTGCATCGTGTTTGACATCTCCTGGTTGATGACATCCTCTAGTTGATTTTGCTTACCTTTCTTAAAGTTCTAATGAGAGTAAGGTACTTTTCATGTAGTGAAGAATCTAGAACTTCTCTGCCCATGTGGGAATCCTCTGCAAATTCTGATGTGCAAGATAGCCTAGAACTTGGATTTGATGAACAGAAGGTCCAAGCTTTTGCAGCTTCAAAATTCGGGGCAAGAGAACTCCGTTCGCTGATTTTTAAGGTACTCTTGTTTTACCCATTTTTATGCCTGCATTTCTTTTTTGATCTTTATTCTTTACCCTTTAAGTCCTTCCATACTTCTACCAACTCAATTTTGTTTTCCTCCTTTTCAATATCATAGGGGGGAGGTTTGATTACTTTGGCAAAGATTTATCAGCTGGTAAGAGCACCCTTCACCCGAGAATCTTTACTTGTTTTTTTTGGTCAAAGAGAATCTTTCCTTCACTAGGTCCATTTAATATGTTTTAATCTAGTTTCCTCTTTAAGGTAGATTGCAAGAAGATTATCGGGGAAAGTCCTCTTAGAAGCTGCTAACTATCAGATAAGAAAGGAAGTTATCAAGAAAGTAAGTGCTTGGCGAATTTTATATTGTCATTAACTTCATCAAGTCCTCACGACATGGAAATAGAATGCACATCCTGTTCATTTGGTTACTGGATGATCTAATGCTTGTGGAAAATATGTGAAAGAAGTGAAAGTGCGTAAGAAGCGAAAGTGCATAAGAAGCGTTATCCTTCTTCCAATGGGATAAACAATTGTGGATCAAAAAGAGTAAATGAGAAGACAAAGCATGCAGCGAGTATGCAGGGGGTCTCCTTCATAATTGAATGATTCTCTTGAAGTCTCAATACTCGCTTTCTAAACGACCTAGCAAATTAAGGTTTTGCGCTGTAGTTAATGAAAATTTTGTATGTTATTTGGACTGAAGGCATGGCGCTTGAACTAATAATTACAAGGAGATTGAAAATCTGATTTATTTAATTATGTTTGTTGGGTTACAGGGTGGACAGTTGGCTGCTATAAATCTTGAATCTCGTGCGGCCTTGCTTGCTGCAAAGAAGGTGATGACATTTGTATTTGCAGACACCTGAAAAGTTATCATAGTGCAACAACGCATGACCAGTTACTCTATTGATATTTATCAAGTGCGAACTCATCATTATGTTTTTGTGTGATTGGTTTTGGCAATTACTAGCAAGGCACATAGCAATAGAAATTTTACTTCGGCTGGTAAAAGAGAATTTATGTATAGGTTGTTAACTGTGCTTGTAGTACTGCAGCAACTATTTGGAAAGAGTTGGTTTCTTCCACTGATGATAAATCATCGAAGGTTATGCGTGTAAACAATAGCTCACCAAGGAGGTATTACTCGATAGAGTTCACATTGTGTTCTGAGAGAGCTTGCTTTTGTTGCCCATTATGAACCCTAACTACAAGCACACCAATCAGCTGCTCACCATGCAACTTTAATCAACTGCAAAGATGATAGAATCAGAACCACTTTCTTACCTCTAGGGACGCTCCATAAACCAAAAAATTATGAACCTGCTGCCTTGTTTCCAAACAGATGCTACACCAGCTTTGTCACACAATATGGTCCCTTGGAGATGTAGAATTTAACTCTTTTTATATTTTTGTAGAGATCTCAACTTATCAACAACTTAAAATACTAAGTTATTCCTGTCTCGACATCCTACCGAGCATTGATCTGCAGCTATACTAAAATGCTGATCTTGCTCTGAAGGCTCCATAATGACCTCTATCTCTTAAACATTCAATAAGCTCTACCAAATAAAGGATTAATAAGCAAAAAGATTTTCTGGTAAGCACCCTTCGTACTAGAGTTGCTCGACATTTTCATAAGGTTGACGTGATAAAATATTTTCCCCGAGTATGATAATGCTAAAAGAGGACTAAAAGTGAGCAGTCAGTCTCATCATGAGGCTTCTGCTTTTAATTTTCCTGTCTATTCTATTCTTCTTGCTGATTGCCCTGATTCTACAGGGTTTTGCCGGTGCCGCATCAAGATATCTGGGTTTGAGGAGCATGATGTCTTTGCTTGGTCCAATGTATTCCCCTTGTTTGGACACTACTTTGAATTTATGAGTAGCTTCGATTGCTTAATTCTTATGTCCTTTTAAATGAGTTTTGATATTTCCCTCTTATTGAACGGTGGAATTGGTGGTTCAATCATAGATATAATCCATCTAATCAGTCAGTTGGTTTCTAAGTATGCATGTATGATCTGCTAGCAACTGATTTTTCATGCATAATGGTAGATGAATATTTTGTGGCTTAGGATTTTCTCATCAAGAACTTTCACTTAACAATTTCACTGACAATTGTTGGTAAACATATGAGAAAAATGCATCACTGTTAGGCAATAAGTGTGCTCTCTGAAATGCATTTTGCACAGATATCTATGAACTTCTTGATTTGGAAGCAAGTGGTGTGCTGTTTTAGAGCAGTTTTAGCATTCCAATGAACTTGGGCATGAACTATTTGAGCTTAGATGAAATTGGTGTCTGCTCATAAACAACAATTTAAAGGTCCCTTATTATTGAGAAGACAATAAATTGTGGAGCTGGGCTATTTGCTTAAAATACTCGTAGAATTGGCAAGTTAACATAAATATGGAATCATCCTCACGTGAGATATGGCTGATGTTTGTCATTAATTCAAGGAGCTGCTAGAAGTCTCGGGAAATATCTTCTGACTTGAGCATTCTGGAATTTATTGGCTCCTCTGTTTCTACTCGTAATCTATGCAGGCTGTGGGGAACTTTTCTTGCTGATATGGTCATTCAAATGCTCGGGACTGATTATGCTAGAATTTTGCAAGCAATTTTCGCCTTTGCACAGGTAATAGACGATAAATACATTAGTCCTGGAGTTTTTTTTTTGGTCACACATAAGTCCTGGTTTATAGTCTTCTCTTGCTAGATGCTGATAAGTATAGCGAGAAAATCTCAATGCGGTTGGAGATTATGAACATTGGTGTGTTGTTTTTAAAGTTTCTATAGATGATATTATTACCAAAATTGGAGCAAAGTAGCACTTATTGGGGTCCCTATTGGATGCATCTATCTTCTGAAAATATAGAAATGACAATTTTGAAAGAAAGTTAGGTGGAAATCAATGGAAAATTTGTTCCTCCTTTGAACTGAGTTTCTGTGTTGTAGTGATGATGGCTGGGGCACTAAGAATGATGTGCATATTGTTTGAGAAAGGTTCTGATGAATAGGGCTTGAGATTCGATCTGTTCAGCAGGTTTTTTTATCTACGGTTCTTTGAAGGAACCCTGTAATTGTTATGTCAAGGGCCTACATGGAATTACTTGTTTGCTATATGAGTTACTTGCTTTTTGTTTGCCTGTGGACATCGGTATACTTTTCTTGTGCAAAAACCTGTTTGTTAAACTCTAGTTGCATATTCATGTTGGCCAAGTTTGCCTTTCCTTTTTATTGGAAGATAATGCGGCAGTTTTACCGTGCTAACTTAATGAAGTTAGTATTATGCACCAGTGGAGCTGATCTCTCTAGTAATTGTGAATTCTGAGTTGCATCCGGATAGAAGTTACTTTGATGGCTACCTCACATTCTCTTAATTTTGCATCCCTGCAGATTCGTATAATGCGGACATATAGAGTACCTGCTGATGTTGAGTGAGGCATCTAGAGCATTTTCAGGATAGTTTTGTCAGACATTCATCAGCTGGTTCTTGTGCCTAAGTCATGGTATCCGTTAGCTTAACTTGCTTAGCTTGATTGTTGGTGTCCATGACAAATTCTCTGCAGAATGTTGCTTGCTTTGTTCTACCGAGAAAGAGTACTGCCTCGGCTGACGAATTATATGTCCTGGATTGTATGATGGAAGAATGCGGTGCCGTTTTGGGGGAATTTTGGCGAACTGTACATATAGTTTCTCCCTTTGGATAGTTCAGCTTGATTGTTATATACTTGTCACTGAGAGCGCTTGAAGAAGTTGCTTTTCTCTGGTTATTTTTCCCCCCTGATGTTTTATGTCAGTTAGGTGGTCATGTCAGGGACTTCCATCTTCTACCTTCTGTGAATGTTGGGATGAATTTTTCCTGTCAAGTGTCTTGAGGACCTTTTGGCCACTGTGCTATTAGGTAGTCTCTGTAAGGACCGAATAATGAAAAGTGGTCGAAAACATGTCAAGAAAGTGATTTTTGAGGCCAAAAATGGCCTCGGCATTTGGTCCCAGCGCATCGGGCTCTGAACGGGATTTTCCCATTGTATTTACGAGTTCCTAACCCTGCCCGGATCTGTAGTTATGCCTGTTGAAATTGAGGCCTCGAGCCGGCTCAGTTTACTCCGCTCCGGCCCTTTTCTTCAATGACCGGGGCGGGCCTGGAGATCGGGCAGCTACCCCACAATGTTGAACTACACTGTGCTTTTCCATGAAAGCAACTAGGAGCTGATGCTAGATGGTCTTGGTTGTCTGCAATTTTAGCTGAAACGTGGCCAATTGGAAATGAGCAATTAATCTTCTGCCAATTTACCAAATCGATTCGCACATCCTCAGAAATCTGAAGAGGAGGACTTCTTTCGAGGCAAATTAAATTCGGAGGGCTCGCTGTGTTGCTTAACATGGTTCACATCTCAATAGTAGATGCCAATTCCAATGATGTCTGTCCTACCCGTTAAAACACACATTCATTGTGGCCCCCATTCAAAGTGTCAAGATCCAAGGCCACTTCATCGGCAGATGTCTTGACTTGACCAAAGTTTCACGATTCGAGACCACTTGACCGGCGGATGTCCGGACTCCTAATTAACAGACGTTTCGCAACGTCAGGTATAGGGTGAAGGGTTTTATATCAACAAGTGTTTTGGGAGACACATCAAGCATTCTCGATAGGGATTCGTTTCGATTTCAAAAATTTTCTTTGGAATATCAAACTTAGCGGTCTAGTTATCCCCGGCCATTCTACGTGGCACAACGCCACGTTAGTAATTTTCGGTGAAAATTGATCGGAAGGGTTACTTTGAAATTTTGCGTAAAGACTTATAACTAAATCGGCAAAATTGGAAAATTTAGGTGCGAATTGGCATTTGTAGGGAAAAGTGTCAGAAAAATCCTAAACCTTTTGCATTTGTACCAATTTAGTCCTAAGGCTTTTTTTGGTGTCAATTCAGTCATAAATCTTGTCTTTATGCCAATTCAGTCATTCCGATTAATTTTGACCGGATATTGCTGACGTGGACGCCGGCCGGCCTACGTGGCACCATGAGCGATGATGTGGATAACTTTTAATAATATTTTAATAATTTTCAAATATTTTATTTATTTTTAAATTTTTTTCTTTTCTTCTTCTTCCAGCCAGTTGCCGGTCTAGTGATTGGCTAGAGGCTAGGGCTGGCGAGCCTTGCCTGTCACTGGCGAGGCTCGCCCTCGCCAGCGGTTAGGTGAGGCACAACCTCCCTGGATCTGGCGAGGTTGGGCCTTACCCATGGTTGGCGAGGCTCGAGCCCTCGCCAAATGGCTGCAAGGGTGGCCTCGAGCTGGGCTGGGCGAGGCATGATCTTGTCAGATTTGGCGAGGTCGGGCCTCCCTAATGGCCGCTGAGGCTCGAGCCTCGCCAGATCCGACGAGGGCGAGCCTCGCCCAGCCTAGCGTGAGGCTGCCCTCGGGGCCATCTGGCGAGGGTCGAGCTTTGCCAGATCCGGGGAGGTCATGCCTCGCCCAGCCGCTGGCGAGGCTCGCCCTTGCCAGTGGCCTGTGGGGCGGGGCTCGCTAGAGGCTGGCGATTCGCCGGCCTTGGCCTCCAACCGGTTACCGCCGGTGATCGGCTGGAGGAAGAAGAAAGGGAATGAAAAAAAAAGAAAAAGAAAAAGAAAAAGAAAAAGAAAAAGAAAATTTTTAAAAAATAAATAGAAAATTCGAAAAATATTATTAAAAGTTATCCACGTCTTCGCCAGTAGTGCCATGTAAGCCGGCCAACATCCATATCAGCAATATCCATCCAAAATTAACCCAGAGGACTGAATTGGCACAAAGACGAAGGGTTTATGACTAAATTGACACAAAAAAAAGGTTTATGACTAAATTGGCATAATTGCAAAAAGTTTAAGATTTTTCTGACAATTTTCCCGGCATTCGTACAAAAGTTAAGACTAATTGGACAATTTCCCCGACGAGATCATGACAGTGAAAACACAAGGTTGAGTTAATATGGATTTGCTACATGGAAATAACAAATAAAACACAGAGTCGAACCGCTTTGTATATATTATAAATCATTGGCAAGAGAGATTATTGTAGAGTTACATTTGACCGTTATATATAAATTATAAATGTTCGATCCAAATTCAAGGATCACCGATGAGCTCATATTGGTGGTCCTCGAGCTTGGGTGACCTCAATTAGAAATTGAGGTCCACATGAGGTCACAACCACCATTGCAAAGCTGTAAAGGAAAAGGGACGCCAATGGGGGCTCACGGTGGCAATTGAGGCTCAATGGCTCGGTGACGACGACTTGTGGGCTCGGTGGTGGCATCCATAGCTAAAGGAAAATTCCAAAATAAGCTTCTGATATGAAAATGAAAAAAATATAGGACTTTCTTTCTATTTACAAGATGTCTCGGAAGGCCTGCTGTTAGCACGATATATTCAAAAAATATAGTGCGAAAGAAGAGATTGTGATAATGAAAATGCAAGGTTTGATTCATATAGATTGATTACCATCGACAAGAGATCATCTTAGAGTTACACTCGATCATATGAACTATAAAAATGTAGATATTCAAGCATCACCATCCCAGAGCTCATCCAATGATTTGTAAGGCCCATCCTTATAAATGAACATGTCACCAGCTAATCCTCTTCTCTGTGGAATCTGAAGCTTGATCTTGTCCGAATCCTCCTGACTAAGTCCCCAATCCAAGATCTGCAGGTTCTCTTTCATTCTCTCTTTGTTGAAGCTCTTCACTATCACACTTGCTCCTTGCTCGTATATCCACCTCAGTGCAACCTATGATACACAATTTAGAGATACAGAAGATTGAATCATGTGATTTATGAGATTACCTGAGCATTTTCCATGGGGATAATGATAAAAAGGACATAAACATATTGGATGGATGCTAATTTAATCATAAACCTTTTAATTTAGTCCTAAACCTTTTGTTGATTTACCAACGTAGTCCTTACGGCCAATTTTGGCTAGCAATTGCTAACCTGGAGGCCTGTCGGCCGTCTTACGTGGCATGGTCGGTGCTGGCGTGGACAAACTTTTGAAATTTATTTAATTTTTTTGAAACTTTTTAGTAAATTTATATGTTTTTCTTTTTTTTTCCTTCTTCCTCCGCCGTTTTCCATGGCAATGATTGGCCATAGGCGTGGGCCGACCTCGCCCCTCTTGTCCAAGGCTAGCGAGGGTCAACCTCACCCGAGGCCGGTGAGGGACGATTTTGCAAGCTTTTGGCGAGGGTCGGGGTGAGCTTCGAGTCGACCCTCGCCGAGACTTGGTGATCGAAGGAGGAAAAACAAAGAAATAAAAGAAAAAGAAAGGAAAGAAGAAATTTTTTAATAAAAAGTTCAGAAAAATTAACAAAATTCAAAAGAATTGTCTATGTCAACATCGGTCGTGCTATGTAAGATGGCTAGGGTCCACGCTAATCATTGGCAGTCAAAATTGATCGGAAGGGCTACATTAACAAATCGTTAAAAGCTTTAAGACTCAATTGATTTAATTGAAAGATTTAGGAGTGAATTGACACATAATAGACTTTTGACTCTTTGGTAATCTCCCATTTTTCATGGACAATGATTTCTAAGGTAAGCTTTTTCATCAAAACTAAATGATGATTAAACTGAAACCCCAATAAGAGAGAGATGTTTCGTATCGATAATATCGAACTTATATATTTAGATAGGATATTGTCATGATGACAAAATCCATCAACTTTAATTACGATCCAAAATCGTTGGACAATAACTGCCGCCAATGTTCTTAATTAATAGAAGATGTGCTCTAATTATGATTGTTTTCGGACCACACTCAAATATTTAGGGCCACAAATAAGTAAGAGCAAGACCAGACAAATCTAGAATCGCAAGACGATTTGCATTGTGAGGCTGCTGAAGAAGCCGTACACAAAACCTATCATCTCTTTAGGGTTTTGACCAGACACGCACACAAACTTCTAATCCTTAGAGAGACTAAATTGACAAGGACGTGCATGGAGGAAATTAGTACACATTGCCTTCTCATGTGATAAGCAAATAGACTTTCTCCCCCCATTCACTTATATACCCGAAGAGGAAATTTCTAAACTAAAAACTTCGTTTCAAACGACACAACGTCTATTGCTTTTCCCAATTTAGTTACCTTTGTAACTAGCCATACCCAAATGATACCCAAATGAGTTTTTGCATTAATTTATGGTAATTTTCAAATGAACAGTCGAATTCTTTTTATTTGCGATTTGATTGCTATTATTTTTTAAAGGCAATAATTTCTTTTGAATTATGAAAATCGACTCGCGAGAGTTCGACATAGTGATCCAGCGCTTGGTTTAGATGTAACACGTCTCGTGCTCAAATTACGTTGTCCAAGAAGAGT